AGGTCTTTGGACCTCCCAATCCTTTGTAGCTCTATAGAGACTAAGTAAATATTTATTATAATTGAGATACTTAAAGAACTAACTAAACTAATGTACAAATGAGTTTACCAACTATGGAATTGGACGATTTACTTCAAAATATGGATCATGCAGATATTTCGAGAGATGCATATTCCATTTGAGTTGCCCATGATCCATGAAGGTAATAACTCATGTATCCTATTAGCTAAAAATCCTGTTCATCATCTGCGTACCAAGCATATAGATATTCATCTACAATTTATCAGAGAACATATTATTCAGAAACAGATTAAACTAATTCATTGCAAACATGCTAACTAAAGGATTACCAAAGGTCAAGTTTCAAGACTCGAGGAATCGTACAGGAATGACAAGGATTAGAAATAAAGGGAGATATTGAAATATGTTACAGCATTTTGTGACAAATCAGAATAAATTTATAATTTATATAACCTGGTTGCGAAATACTAGGTTATTATTAATGTAATTGTTTTCTAATACGTTATCTATAGATTACATTTATTAAAGATAAGGGAATCTATATCTTATCTTTGCAAACAATGCTTAACGATAGTAAGCCATAAGGCGGATTATAGACCTGACTTCCTATTGGTGATTTAGATAAAATAACGGGAAGCGTAATCCTATTGTTGACAATATAAAAGGAAAGACCTCCCAATACTCTGTATTTGTATAGAAACTAAGTAAGTATATATTTTAATTGTGATACTTAAAGAACTAATAAAACTAATGTAAGAATGAATTTACCAACTATAGAACTCAACGATTTACTTCATAATCGAGATTCATAAGAATAAGGGTTTTTCCACCTGTAATGATTCATTCCCCTTCATTTACTCTATATATATTATAAAGGTAAATTCAATGCTGCCGTTTATATATTGGGAATATTCTCACATAGTTTTGAACATTATTCGTCCTAATAACTTCTCCAATTTCCTTCGAGTTCGTCAAATCGTCTTCTATTCAACAATGCTCTTCTCTTGTTACCAAAATCATCCACTTCTCTCCTCATATTTTCTCTCTTTAATCTTCTAATGTTTCTTTCTCTTTCAATCTCTCTCTTTTCAATTTCCCATGGAGTTAAGATTTCAACTATAGGTTCCCATTGATCGTTTCCATTGTGTACACTACTTTCAGTTGTGATCCTTATACCACACTCAAATATTAAACCACTTTGCTGTTGATACTTATGCAACTCATGATTATAGCTCCCATCAGTTATTTCCTTTTTCAATCTAAGAATTAATTCGTGTAAGGAGTGTGACACAGCAGGCTTGAATTCCAAAGATAACCCCAAATCTGAAACTACGATATCTGCAAAATTCTCAGGAGTTATTTCATTCTGTGCTAAATCCCATTCGAATCTATCTTGGTATAACTGTTTATTTAAACTTACCGATAAATCGATTATCACATGGTATTCAATATTAGGTGGAAGCTGTAGTGACGATGCAAAATTATAATCCTCAATTTGTTTAATTATTGATTCTGTAATTTCCAGTTGCATATGAGTAGGTAATTCAAGGTCATTGCATAAAAGAATGGAGAATTGTTGAGGAGTGATTAATGTTTCATTTAAATTCCACATGAAGAAATCAACCAATTTTGAATTACCCCCATTGTATTCCAAATTCAACCTTATTGGAATTAGAACGTCGTTATTCTTATGGTTAATATCAGCTATTTTCAGATCATCATCCAATCCTAGTGGATAACGAGTGTTTCGAGCGGGTTTTAAGAGATGTTTTTGATTATTCGAAGCTAATTGATTATTAACTACTGCTGCAGTGGTATTTGTAGCAGTTGGTACTTCGTCAAATTCAAAATCATCGTTTATATTCTCAAGCTCTGCGTAGTTTATCTGCTGAGCGTTCCTTTTAGCTATTCTTCCTTGCGGGGCGGTATTCAAAATTAGTGCATTATCAGGATCCTTTGAGATTCTGGAGTGTAAGCCAGTAGACAATGCCTGGGGGTAGAATGATTTACTATGAAACGATAAGTAAGACATGGATATTATGTTTGATTTGTTTTGATTAATCTTCGTGAGTCTTGTTGTTCTTCAGCTTTATTTCTTCAAAGAAAAGTAAATGGGGACACGACTAAAATTTTTTTGTTTCAAATATTGAATACGCGAAATATACGTTTATATATAAATAATTATGTATATATAAATACTTACAACGAAGTACTTAGTATTCTTATATATATAAATATTTATGTAAAACGAAGTAATGGAATCATCCATAATCTTAGAAAATTTTATGCTATCAAGGGCGTCATTGCATGAAGTGATTACCTTAGAACAATTTGCAAGATTGTTTCCTAGAAGAGTATCAAAAAGTACAATTCAGAGAATATTTGAAGAATTGGTTGAACAGCGTGAATCCAAGTCAATTGAGCCCACAAAGAATAAAATTCAAGAGCAGTTTGACGTGCCACTACAAGATACTATTGATAAGCTCAAGACTTCCCAATCAATAACATCAGGAAAACATTCTATTGATGATCTAGTAACTAGATTAGATAAACTAGAAAATATATTTGTATTACAAAATACATTAATCGATGATCAGATAGCAAATGTTATACATGATATCCAGTCAATATGCAAAGAGTTTAATGAAATAAAATATGGAAATGCATGGTTTAGGGGAGGAGACGAAACTGAAATAGAAAAGATAGTAGAAGAAACAATACGAAGTGTTGATAAATGTGACAGCATTTTCAGGTAAGATGCAATTTAAATCAATCATATAGAATCATTATTTGATCAAATATTAATGGCTGATGGATCTCTAGAATTGATTTCCGTAGAACCCACTATACTATCTAACCTTGATAATTCTTCTTCACCTATCCATTTCCAGATATCGTACTTCCAGTTAAGGCCGTCCCGATCACCTAATTGATAATTGCTTGATAAGCCTCCAGTTTCAGGAATATCTTTCATATATATAATTCTTCCTATTCGAGAATGTACAAGCGCCATGGAACACATAACGCATGGTTCATGTGTTGTATATACAAGCAAATTATGACACAAGTAATTCAAATCATTTTTATCAGCATGATCCAGCATTGTTCCCTGTAAGTTGCATCTTCTTGATGTCTCATTTTTTGCGATTTCTTCTATAGACTTCATTACACTATGTTCTAATGGGTGATTATTTCTATTATCAAAATTCACAGTAAGAATTTCATGATCTTCATTCATTTTTGATTCTTTCGCTATTATAGTCACAACAGGGACCCCAGTACTATTGGTAGTTCGATATTCTTGAAGGGCATCTAATAATTTATTGATCATTGCTCGCTCTCGGGAAATATTGAAATTGGCAGCTTTTAATGCTTGATGATTAGGATTCCCTTTCCATGACATGGGCCAATAGTTAGATGTCCATTCTTGAGAAATTTCTTTTGTCGTAGCAGGGTATCGTGGAATCTGTTTTTGATAGAAAGTGAAAGATTTAACGTCAAGATCTGAACCATGTTCCTCGAGTAGATTAAGAATTTCTGCCTCATTCTGAAATAAATCTGCAGAACATAATATTGTCCTCAAAATAGATTTTGGCTTATCCGAAGCTTTATTTTCTGTTACTTTATTAAACCTTTTGACATGAACTAGAGGTAGTGTTTCATTTGGAGTTATAAATTGTCGAATGAAAGTAATTAAAGCCTTCGATTGAGATGGCGATATATCACAACACCACACATTCGTCAAAATAGGTATTTTAGGATCAGCAGTATTTATAGTAGAATATTTGATTTGTTTTAGGACTCCATGAATTACTCCATTTTCTAAATCCACATGTTCAACTGAATTTTCTTTATTTTTGCCCATTTGTTTCGATGTTGTTTTAATAATTTTAACCAGCTTCGAGATGTCTGCTATAAATGAGTTTATTTTGTTAAAATTTTTGAATACCATTGTTGCAATGACTTCGTTCATCAGACCCCGGGGTTATTTTTTTTGAGTTTTGATTTTTTTGAGATCGGATTGAAATATTGTGAAATCAAATTGCAACTTTTTAGGATGCTGAATCGTATACTTAGGAATGGAAAAAGGACAATATTTAATAGATTATTTAATATGTAACTACCCTGAATTGGATGCTAAATTGCTTTTAAAACAGTCCGTTTTTGAAAAATCTGAGGAGTATTTGAAGCTTTTACATGAATCCTTAATTGTTGAAGGACGCGTAGGTAATAATGATGATTATAATTATCGATATCACTTGTTTGAGGCTAATTCACACGTAGAATTAGTTGACTCGATTATTTCTTATTTAATAAGAGAAAAATCACCAAACATACTTGTTAATGGTTATCACGATCCGTCTTCAAATTCAGCGTGGGGTTCTAAAATTTTTAATCCATACGTTAGTTTTAAGGTTAATTTCTTGAAGAATGAAAGTTGGAACAGACTTTTTAATCGAATTGGCAAAATTAGATTTTTAAACTTGGTATTAAATACTAAATGTTTTATCAAAATAAACGATGTGAACTATATGCAATTGTTTGGTCTTTTGCCCAGTTTCCAATCGAATGTTTCCGAGCTGCTACTGAAATCAAGAATGCTTTACCGGAACCAGAAAAGAATTAATAATTCCTTCAGATTCTTCTCGGATAACCCAATTGATTTGATAGATGAGATAATTCCTTGTGAGGCACTCAAATATAAGGCGAACCTTCCTAAAAAGTTCAGACAATTTAAAAGATTATGCAATCAGATCATATGTAATGAATCGAAGTGTAATTATTTGTCAATTTATAAGGAAATATGTACCAAGTATGAACTGAAAACTATAAAAACAAACTTTGACGAGATAACACAAATTTCTGTTGTAATAAGATTTGTTTTAACAATTATTGGCAAAGTATTTCCATTGAATACCTGGGGTACTCCAAAAAATAAATCGGAAGTTTTCAAAAAGGTAATTAAATTTATAAAAGCATGCAAAAGTGATAAGTTTCCTAAGGATCAACTTATATCATCTATCGAAATTTCTCATATATACTGGCTTGGAAAGAAATCAGAGATAAAGTCGAGACAAGACTATAAGTTACGTCTTCGCTTGTTTTCAGGATTCTTGGAATGGTTTCTATCGGTTTATGTTTGTGAATTAGTGGGATCTTTTTGGTATGTCACGGAAGTATCACATGGTATCTTGAGTAAAGATATATTACATTATCCCCATAATGAATGGAAACGAATGACTAATAAATGGTTGAATGACTACATAGAGAATTACCTTGTTGAAAGCACCGATAATGAAGCTGATGCATTCAAGAAATACAATATTGGGCGCTTGAGACTACTTCCAAAATCAAACGATTTTAGAGCTTTATGTATTCCTATTAAACAAATGGTAGGTACAAATAACTTAAACAAAAAGGAAAAAGAAGCTCAGAAATTTCAATACTTAAACTACATGAATAATACCATAAGGCCAATACGTGAATTACTTCTTCAAAAGGAAAGGCACAAATTATTATTAAACAAGAAAAGTCATCCAAGATGCTTTTCAATACGAGATATTGCACACAACATAGGCTTATTCAAGCATGATCTAATTAGTAAATATACACAAATCCCAAAACTTTTTATGTTAAAATTTGATATGAAGCACTGTTTTGATAATTTGAGTCAAGAAAGAATATTGAAATCTGTCAATGACTTATTTGATGAAGATAGCAACGACAAGATATATTATGTTAGACAGTTTGTTGAATCATCTTTTTTTAAACAGGAGCTCAAAAAACAACGTTATGTCATTAAAGATGAATCGAATGTTCACGAATATAATATTTTGGAGGGACAGAGTTCTAACTTTCAATTTAATGAGTCCCCAAAAATTATTGTGGACAAGGCGAAAACAATTCGGTTTAAGAAATCACAGGTTTTAGAAGTGATCAGAGAGCACGTTCTCCATTCAACTATGGTTCTGTCAAATAACACTGAAAAATGTTTTAAAAGAAAAAAAGGTGTATTTCAAGGTTTACCTCTTCTGGCCACACTATGCGACTTGGTTTATAACTCTTTAGTAGACGAAAATTTTCAATTTTTATTCAAAAAATCAGATTCGATTTTATTAAGGTTAGTAGACGATTTCTTAGTGATTTCTACAGAGAAAAGTCAATGCCAAAAGGTTTACGATATAGCCTTGGGAGAGGCGTTTCAGTCAAGTGGAGCCCTTGTGAATACGAGCAAGACGTCATGGGTAGAAACCACTGCTGACTTGGAAGTTTATATCAAGTTCGTGGGATTAAAGATTAATCCTTCTACATTAGAAATAATGCCGGATGCTGATTCGAATAGTTCATTTATATCACTTTCAAAGTATAAATCATTTAAGACCGTATATTTATATTTACAATGGTGCTATAAAGTGAGGTTAGCAGATCATTTCATAAATTTGGAATTAGTATCTTTTAATGCGGCACTAAAAAATATAGAAATTATATTACACGCCATAATCGAATCATTCTATATTCATTTTAAGGAGATTTTATTGCGACTGGGTGAGTTTGATGAACAATCTTTACAAGAATTTTTGTTGAATTTACTCCATATGACTTTACGAAAATATCAATTAGTCAATCCTAGTAAATTTGGCGTCGAAGAAATCAGTACTATGTTTAAAAGGGTCATAATTGCAAAACTTTCTAAAAATTCAGTATTTAAAAAAACTAATTCTTGGCTTAAGACTTCCAAAATTCTTTAAATTATCCCGAAAGAGCTCTTCAAATTTTCATTATCTCTGATCTGTCTCATTCTTTCTATTTCATCTATGCCGCCAGATTTCTTCAATTTACTATCATCAACGAAATCTCCCAATTCTTCTTGAAATTCGTCAAGCCTCATCATTTCTCGTTCCTTCTCTCTAATCTTTTCTGCTTTAGTTATGGCTTGTAAGCGTTTCTCATGATCTGGTTTTAAAGCCGCAACTTCATTCAACACTTCGTCTTTTATATTGTGAATGCTTTCACCTGGCTCTGGAATATATAGTTGCGAAACAAATCTATTTCGTTTATACGCATTTTGTTTGCTTTGTTCAAGAGAACACTGCTCTATTAAACTAAATGTTTCTTCAATCTTTTTAATGTCATCTTCAAGATCTTGCGTTAAATCGCTCTGTAAGTTGAAAAATTGTTGCTCTTCGCAGACTTTGTCTAACTCGCTTTCCCAAATTTTCTTCCATTGCATTTTTTCCCTTTCGATATAATCTGTCATATCCTTTAGAGACCCTCTAGCCTTTTCTATCTCTTTGTACGTGTTTTTAAGCTGCAGTTCGCCAACTCTAACTCCTCTTTGAGCAACATCTTTCCTTAATGCCTCCATAACATCTTGCAAGTCATCAACTTTTGTCAACAAAGCGTCCGAACCTTCAGATAATTTAGCATTGCAAGAGTCCATATAGGCTCTATTTGATGATTTCGAAACGTTGAGACCACTTTCTTGAAAATCCTTTACCCTTCTTAGCAAGTGAGTGACTGACTCTTTTATACCTGCCCTATTAGCATTTTGGGTTTGTCTAATTACTCTCAATTCTCTTTGAATACTTTCCAATTCCTTAAAATCTTCCTTATTTATCAAACTTGGATTTGATGAAAGCTGGGGTTCTTTGCTCACAACCGGCGGAGGAGTGTTGACTTGAATTGAATTAATAGCACCTTTCAACTCAGTAAGCGTATTTGAATTTACTTCATCAATTTTAGTATTCAAACTTTGAATCTTCTCTTCAAGTTGTTTCATAACGATTGTCAGGGTTTCCGGCTCGTTCAAACATAAAACACTACCTTGCTTTACATCAACCTCCAACAAATGCTCTTCTAATTCATAAGAAACTCCAGTATTTGGATCTTGTATATAAATTTCAGGAAAGGACGAAGTTCCTGGCGAATAAGCAAATTTTTCAACAAAAAGTAAGCGTAGGGCCGCAAAAGAAACAGGCAATCTAATGTTGACTTTTTTGGTTTTATTATTGATTCTAAGGAATATGTGAGCAGTGTCATTTTCTTGGGAATACGAGCTGTTGAGTGTTTCGTTCACATCAGATTTCAGCGTAGTTTGCTCAGGTATACGGGACGATTCTGTAGATACAATTCTCGCCAAATTATTGGTAGGCGAATGATTTGTGAGTTTGGCATATTGGTAGGCACTGAATCTTTTCGAAGCACGGCGTTGCAAAGAATTACCCTTCTGAAGCTGAACCAATGCATCATTCAGACTTCCTTGCAGAGATCTAGATGCTTTACTACTAGTTGATACCTGATTTCGAACAGGAACAGATACAATCTTGGAATTAGTAGCATTTTCTGTATCGTCAGACCTTTCCTTTTGTTGTTTTTCATAAGATAGCGATTTTGCTTTTACTTGTTTATTTTTCAAGTTTTGTAGCAATGTTACAATAATGTTTCTTATATTTGGTAAGAACCTATCTAGGTTTTCTTGGGTAGGAGCTTCACTTAACGCAGCCTCCAAAATAATCCTCAATGCTTGAGGTACATCACCAATGTCAGAGATATCAACTCCAGCATTTGTAAATGCTCTAGATGCAGCACGGAAGTCGTTTCCTAATTTAACATAGGCATCTGATACAAACTTGTCGTCAGCTTCCCTTCTCGCCCACTGGGTCAAACTCTCTAATAGGTGCTTAGTTGAGACTAAAAGTCTGGTAACACTAGATTCGATCGTATTTAACGATTGACTTTTACTTCCTGATTTTGATGATGATGATATAGAACTAGCAGAGGAAGTTGACATATTTATTGAACCTGTTGTTAATCACCTTATAACTGTGATCTGACATGTTATTTAGTGTCTACCTTTTTTCTATAGATCAGCAATATGCAGTACCAACAAATTTCTACAATTATATTAAATATGAATATCTAAACTATCAATATACAAAGTGAGATCTATATATTAGGAAAACCATTTTTGAATAACCAGCATTTCAGCAGGGTATTTTTGCAATAAAGCTACGGCTTCATTTTGTGGTATACTACCAAGTAATTGTCTTGTAGCAGCAGCAGTTCTCTCAGCAGTGTTACCTGAAATAGATGCATGCGATAACGCCTGGATTACAGCGTCAACAACCTTAGGAACTTGACTTGTAACGCTGGAATGTTGGTTTTGGATTAAATGACACAAGAAAGTGTAAGCAAAAGGTGCAGCTTCTTCATCTTGGACAACAGGTAATAAATCAATCCATTGTTGTATAAGACCATCTAAATTAGGTATCGAGGATCCGTAACTGTGGAAAATCTTAGCCAAAGCTGAGATGGAGTTTTCCGTAGCGTGAATGTTATCATCAGCACGCGCATCTGGAACAGAGGCCATCTTAAAAATAGGCTCCATGCAAGCCAAACAAAATTCACCGTATGCATTACCACCATGCTGGGCAGCCATACCTACAGCGTATGAAGCAGCTTGACGAATTGAAGCATGGGATGCTGTTAATGATTCGCCAACAATATTAATGAACATATCCTTGTAAACAGCCGAATCTGTACCACAATGCTCTAATATATCACAAACTGTACATAAACCACAAAGTTTTATATTAGTATTTTCATCATTAATGAATGAAGCAATTGTTGGAACTAAAATTTGGAAAGCTGGTAAGAAGTTTGTCTTTGAATTTTTGAAAATAGCCGAAATTGCTTTATTAATTTCATCTAATAATTCTTCATCGGTATATTCTTCTTCTTCATCATCAACTTCTTCAGTATATTCATCATCTTCATTGTCGCGTGCCTTTATACGCTCGTAAATCTCGGTCAAGTTGGAGTTAATAGATTTTGCTAAAGATTCCAATTGAGTTTGAGATAACGAATTGGCACCTAATACCCCAATAGATTCCACTAATGCAGTGTAGTATGCTACCAATAATTCTGGTACAGGTTCGTTTGTTAAAACATCGACTAACTTATTAGATATTTGAGACCATATCTGTAATGTCTCATTAGAGTTATTACCGGTTGCAACAACCGAACATTTTAATAAAGAAGCCAAAGTCAAAGCAGCGGATGCACGCACACCATCATGTAAGTAAAAATCAAGCGCAGGGATACCAATATCTTGAACAATTTCTTTGACCCAAGGATAAAAGTCACCTTTCAATTGAATGGCGTATGTTCTTAACAAATCCATTGCCGATACTTTATCGTCAAGCGCGGCAGTGTGAACTGCTATAAGTCTACCAGATAAATTGATGACATCCCATTCATCATTTGAGTTATACTCTTCTGCCTCATCTTCTTCTAATAATGAAATATCTTGTGTAGCCTTAGCTGCATTCAACAATGGAGGTAAAACTGCAGGCAAATATGGAACGAAATCTTTTCCAATAATACGACAAATTCTACCCCAACCTTGTTCCAAATATGGCTTGATAGGATCATCATCTTCCACTGCGGTTTCTTGAATGTGTCCAAATAATTGAATAAGACCTTGACTATGAGGAGCAAACTTTTCTTTACCGACAGCTAAAGCAATCAACGTTGAACATTCAATACACTTTGCTTTTAATAACCTATTCTCTTGGCCCATATCAGTCTTAAGAACATCTGTTAATAATGGCATTAAGGTATCGTAGTATTTGATAAATTTCTTCTCAGCAGCATCAGCTATAATTGCAATTGTGGTTAATACTTGCTCTTGAACATACCTCTTTGGAGATTGTAACAATCCAAGTAAATTGTTCAACAAATCATCTAAGTAAGGTTCTAATATTTCTTTAGAAGCTGCTTCTGAGAAATTAACCAATGCTGCAGCTGCGTGTGCTTGAACTCTGAAAACTGACTTGCTAGTCAACATCGAAATTAAGGCTGGTAATATTCTGTCACCGGAAGTTCTTTGAATTACGTTTGCAAAATCGGTTGACATTTGACCTAAGGCATTACAACAGGCGTATTGAACTCTTGGATGGTTATCGTGTAATGTTGGTAAAATCATATCCAAAATTTTAGGAATTTCTGTCATCAAAACATCGGAACATCCTTCTGCGGCCGATGATAAAGCCATTAATGCGGCTTGACGTTCCCTCCAAGCTGAGGATTGAATCATTACAGGCAAATATTGGAATAACGGAGTTGCCAATGCTTGACCATTTAACCTTAAAGAAACACGATCCAAAGCTTGACGAGCAGCATCGTATTCTGGTTCTTCATCATCATCTTCTGTGTCATCGTTATTATTCCAGTCTGCAGCTTCATCATCATCAATACACACTTCAGTAAGCATGGACAATGTTATTAAAACCATATTATCAGTATATGAAGAAGTACGTTTACACATGGAGGGAGATACTTCCGCAAAGGTTGTCAATAATTCTAAACCGGCCATACGTGCACCAGAATCTAACTCTTTGTTTTTCGAAACTGCTGCACAAAATTCGATTATAGTTGGGAACATTTCTCTAAACATTTTAGGTGCTAATTCAACTAAATCAATTAATGATTCTAAAACGGAAGATAAAGCTTGATCCTGTCCATTCTGCAAGAAACGTGGCAACGAATTTAACAAGTTTGGCAACAAAGGAGATAACGTTGGCCAACTGCTCTTTGGTATTTCACGGAAAAAAGCAACGAAGGCTGTACAAGCTGCGATACGAACATCGTCATTCTCATCTTCAAATCCCGCGTTAAAGATTGGAAGAACCTCATTAATATAAGACTTATCAATCAATTCAGGTGCTGAAGAAAAGACACGGAATGCTGACTCGCGAAAACTTGGGTCAGAATTCTTAGTGGCCTGGAATAATGCAGGTATTAATTCGTTCCACGAACCCAGAGGCGATGCATCTTCCTTTGCTACTTCTGAAATCGCGTCAGAAAGCTTGTGTCTTACTTGATTTGATTGCTGGGATGTAAAGCCGTGCAACAAAATTGCACGAATTTGCTGCCTGACTGGTTCACCAATAACCCCAATAGTTCTGTCAGTTACACTAGCAATCTCCTTTGGAGATCTAATGGCAACACGTCTAAATAAAACAGCGCTGAATGCCTTTAATGTATCATTATCTGACCCACAAGCCTGTTCTGCTAAGAATATCAACAACATTTCGACGTTTTCTTTTTTATTCCATTCTGTTTCAAGCAACTTTTCAGCCTCAGATCTGACTGAGTTATCTGATGAGGATAACCCATTCACTAACTGTGTCAATACACCCTGAACTTCAGCTGGTAATGAAGACATATTAACTAAATTTATCAGTATTCCTCACAAAATGTCTGCAATAAATTCACACAAATTAATATTAGTGTACTTTAAGACCTAGGAAATTCCAACTAAATTAATTGAACGTTAGAAATATTAATAAATTCGGTTGTTTACCACAATTAGTATTCTTCATTTCGTTGGAAATGATGAAGCCTAAAAATTTATTTTCAGTATGTATCATGTGATCATTTTTCAAAATTCTTATTTTTCAGTTGTAGTACAAGCCCTATGGGAGAAGCTATTATACCAATTTCTGTACATTAGAAGGCCTTAAAGTAAATTACATATACTATATATGTGATATTATATGAATGGATTATATTATACATGTATCTGAACGCTTATTTTTTCAAAATTGTAATCACGTCTTCATCTTCCAAGACGTGGCCCAAACCCACAATTTGAGGTTGATGCTTAACAGAAGTTCCGAAAACCAAGGCATTTCTGAAATCAGAAACTAACGATTTGTGGATAGAATTACAGAAGTCTTCGACTGTGCATCTATCGTTTCTCAAAACCACAGGTTCGTTGAAATCTGGTAATTTACCCTTTGGCTTGGTGTAGACCCTGACAAGCTTCAATCTGTCCCACATCATTTCTAATAAATCATCCAAATTCCAGCCCTGGCCTGATGATATTGGGATAGCATTTGGAATCTTATATAATAAATCCAATTCTTGGATGGAGAAAGAATCGATTTTGTTTAAGACATAAATCGCAGGTATGTATCTTCTAGACTTTATTTCAATAGCATCGATCAAATCATCCACCGTGGCATCGCATCTGAAGGCGATATTGGCTGAGTTGATTTTATATTCTGCCATAACCGCTTTGATTTCATCATTGTCTAAATGGGTCAATGGCGAAGTGCTCGTGATATTAATACCTCCTCTTTCTTTCTTTTGAATGACAATATTTGGGGGCTCCTTGTTGATTCTTATTCCTACACCCTCGAGTTCGTACTCAATGATTCTCTTGTGTTGTAATGGCTTATTGACATCCAAAACCAAAAACAATAAATTGACAGATCTTGCGACTGCAATAACTTGCTTACCTCTACCTTTACCATCCTTAGCACCTTCAATAATACCTGGCAAATCCAACATTTGAAGCTTGGCCCCCTTATACTTGATTATACCTGGAACAGTCGTTAATGTAGTGAACTCATATGCAGCAGCTTCTGAATGGGTACCGGTCAATTTCGACAATAAAGTAGACTTACCAACTGACGGGAATCCCACAAAACCAATAGTTGCTACACCTGTTCTTGCCACATCAAAACCGGCTCCACCACCACCACCTCCTCCAGGGGTGCTATCTGATAATAATTCTCTTCTCAATTTGGCTAACTTAGCTTTTAATTGACCTAAATGGAAAGAAGTAGCCTTATTCTTTTGAGTTTTGGCCATCTCATCTTCGATGGCCTTAATCTTTTCAACAGTAGTCATAATGAAAGCTTCAGAGGTAACTAATCTTAGGTTTCTTTATACTTCTATTGCGATTTGGGTTTTTTTTTTCATCTAACAGCTCTTCAAAAAAAATTGGTAGTGTGAAATTCGATCGACAAAAAGTGATACAAAAAAAATTTCAAATTTTCACCAAATTGAAGTATTGAATATAGAGATAGCGAACCAAAATTTATACTATTTAGCACATAAATATATTTAAATATGGGTAAAAAAGGTAACAAGAGTGCCAAAGCTGGTGGAGATATCTGGGATGATGAAGATCTTGCCCAAGAAGCCCCACAGGGTGAAGAATTCGGTGGATCCAATGGATTGGGAGGGTCAGAAACCTCTTCTCCAGCACCAGAAGGAGCGGAAGCAGCATCAGCAGATGACGTTGCAGGGGATTTTTTGAGTTCAATCCGTAAATCTAAACAGAAGAAGGCAGAAAAGGTAGAGGAAGAAAAGAACAAGCCAAAGGATGCGCCAAAGATTTTATCCAAGAAGGAAAAGGAAAAATTAAAGAAAGAGGCCGAAAAGCAAAAAAAGAAGGAACAAGCGGCTAAAAAGAAGGCTCAACAAGCAGACAAGAAGGAGCAGATTAAGGAAGCCAATAAGCAGAATGCGGCAGCAGCTTCTGCGACTGCCTCGCCTGCAGAAGGCACAACACCTGAACCAGAAGACTCTAAGGCGAAAGCTCCAGCCAAGAAGGGTGGCAAGAAAGTGCCAGCTGGTATTGCCGCATTGAAGCGTCAATTGGAATTGAAGAAGCAATTGGAAGAAGAGCAACGTCGTCTCGATGAAGAAGAAGAAGAACGTCGTATTGAAGAAGAGAGAAAGGTGGCCGAAGCTGAGGCTGAACAAGAAGCCATTAGAGCTGCTAAGAAAGAGAAAGAAAGAGCTAAAAAAGAGCAATTGAAGGCTGAAGGTAAATTATTAACCAAAAAGCAAAAAGAAGAAAAGAAATTACAGGAACGTCGTCGTCAACAATTATTGCAAGGAAATGTTTCTGTGCCTGGTTTACAAAATAATGGAGACGACACTCCAAAACCTAAGAAGATTGTTTATGGAAAGAAGAAGTCTACAAAGCCTAAGACATTCATTCAACATAATAATAAAGCTCAATCTCAAAATAAGACAGACGAAAAGAAAGATCAAGATGAAGATATTGTCGACGACTGGGAAAAGATGGCTTTAGAAGATGATGAACCAATAGCTGATGACTGGGAAGCTGCTTTGAATGATGAGGATGACGAAGCTAAGGCTGCTGAAAAGGCTGAGGCTGAGCGTAAGGCTAAGGAAGAAGCTGACCGTAAAGCTAAGGAAGAAGCTGAACGTAAAGCTAAGGAAGAAGCCGATCGTAAAGCTAAGGAAGAAGCCGATCGTAAGGCTAAGGAAGAAGCTCAAAAGAAATTGGCAGCTCAAAAGAAACCATCTGCTTCAAATGAAAGTGACTTGCGTTCTCCAATTTGTTGTATTTTGGGGCATGTTGATACTGGTAAGACCAAGTTATTGGATAAAGTTCGTCAAACTAATGTTCAAGGTGGTGAAGCTGGTGGTATTACCCAACAAATCGGTGCTACATATTTCCCAGTTGATTCCATCAAACAAAAGACAGCAGTCATGGCACAACATGAAAAGCAAACCTTTGATGTTCCAGGGTTATTGATCATTGATACCCCAGGGCACGAATCTTTCACCAACTTAAGATCTCGTGGTTCATCGCTTTGTAACATTGCTATCTTGGTTATTGATATTATGCATGGTTTAGAACAACAAACCCTTGAATCAATCAGATTATTAAGAGACAGAAAAGCTCCTTTTATTGTTGCATTAAATAAAATTGATAGATTATATGACTGGAAGGAAATTCCAAATAACTCCTTCCGTGACTCTTATTCTAAGCAAACTAAATCTGTTCAAGCAGAATTCCAAAATAGATATGAACAAATTAAGGTTGCATTGGCTGAACAAGGTTTGAATTCCGAATTGTATTTCCAAAACAAGAATATGTCTAAATACGTTTCTATCGTTCCAACTTCTGCTGTTACTGGTGAAGGTGTTCCTGATTTATTGTGGTTATTGCTTGAATTAACTCAAAAGAGAATGTCTAAACAATTAATGTATTTGTCAAAGGTTGAAGCCACTATTTTAGAAGTTAAGGTAGTTGAAGGTTTCGGTTATACTATTGATGTTGTTTTGTCTAATGGTATTTTGAGAGAAGGAGATCGTGTTGTATTATGTGGTTTGAATGGTCCTATATGTACGAATATCAGAGCTTTATTGACACCACCACCATCGCGTGAATTGCGTATTAAATCTGAATACGTACACAACAAAGAAGTTAAAGCGGCTTTGGGTGTTAAGATTGCAGCAAACGATTTGGAAAAGGCTGTCGCTGGTTCTCGTTTGGTGGTTGTTGGTGAAGATGACGACGAAGAAGAAATCATGGAAGAAGTCATGGATGATTTGACTGGTTTGTTAGATTCTGTTGATACATCTGGAAAGGGTGTTGTCGTTCAGGCATCTACATTAGGTTCTTTAGAAGCTTTATTAGATTTCTTGAAGGACATGAAAATTCCAGTTATGTCTATTGGTTTGGGTCCAGTCTACAAGAGAGATATAATGAAAGCAAGTACTATGTTAGAAAAGGCTCCTGAGTATGCGGTCATGTTGTGTTTCGATGTTAAGGTTGATAAAGAAGCTGAACAGTACGCAGCCGAACAAAACATTAAAATTTTCAATGCTGACATTATTTACCACTTATTCGATCAATTCACTGCTTACCAACAAAAATTATTAGAAGCTCGTCGTAAGGAGTTCTTGGAATATGCTGTTTTGCCTTGCGTCTTGAAGACTATCCAAATCATTAACAAGCGTAACCCTATGATTATTGGTGTTGATGTCCTTGAAGGTGCTGTCCGTCTTGGTACTCCAATTTGTGCTGTTCGTCAAGATCCAGTTACTAAAACACCAAATATCATGGTCTTAGGTAAAGTGGTTTCCTTGGAAGTTAATCATAAATCTCTTGATATTGTCAAGAAGGGTCAAACCTCTGCCGGTGTTGCTATGAGATTAGAAAATCCTTCATCCGCTCAACCTACATGGGGTCGTCATGTCGATGAATCAGATAACTTATATTCTTTGATTTCTCGTAGATCTATCGACACTTTGAAGGATCCTGCCTTCCGTGACACTGTTAGCAGAGATGACTGGGTATTACTTAAAAAATTAAAACCAGTCTTCGATATAAAATGATTTGGCATGCTTCTCTTGTACCGTTTGTTTTTATATTTTAGTTTATTGAATCATTATGTATGTCTACGACTCTAACGTAAAGTAATATAAATATTATACTCGAAAAAGTGAAGAATATAAGCGCGCGAACTAATGAAATATATTATAACAGTTATTACTTAAATAGGAAGTCAACCGGATACCCAATGAAGTTACTCGAAATCAATTTTTCTTACTTCAAAACCATACTGAAATACATCAATACCGATTAATTTACATTGAATATTAATTAGCCATGCAAGATTTACCACCTATTGGAGGTTACGAACCTGTTCAATGGAAAAGAAATCTTCCATCTAGAGGTTTTAGACCTGTTATTTATTTCTGGGGATTCACTGGATTAATGGCTTTTGGATTTTATAAATACTACAAAGGTGTTGATGAACAGCGTGAATTAGCAAGAGAAAGACAGTGGGCTCGTTTCTACTTAGAGCCATTATTATTGGCTGAAGAAGATAGAAATGTTGCTAGAAGATATTATTCTGAAAAGTCAAGACAAGAACTTGTTAGAGACTCAATGTCCCCAGAAAAGAAAGCCAAATTTGATGAAGAATTATACCATGATAAGTCCAAATTTCGTTTCCCAAGATTCACTGCTGGTGTCCATCCTTCAGAACGTTAATATTCTAGGGAACCACATATTGTAGCTTCAATGAGTCTATATAAAAAAATGATACATTCTATCAGATGATGTAATACTAAATACTTCCATGGATCCTATCAGGCTCCTAACATCATAAAGACATTTGAGATACAAACTCTGCTTCATAAATAGTATATAAAACCCAAGTCATTTTTTATCTCTATTTTCATACTTTCATAAATCCAATTATAATATAATACAGTTTATTTGTTACATCTTTATTTCCTCCATATTATTGTGGACATATTCCATTGGGCACTTATGCCATATAGTTGAGGATATTGGTCAGTTGTTGGCATTAGTCACTTCTTAATACGTATTCGTATCACGTGTAATATGATATAAAAGATCAACAATTTTAACTACAGAAGTAGTACTACTTATTCGTACTAAAGATAAAGAGAAATGTCACAAAAGATCACTACCAAAGAACAAGCAAAAGCCGTAATTGACAATTATGACTATTTTATATTCGATTGCGATGGTGTTCTTTGGTTAGGAGATCATTTATTACCACATGTCTGTGAGACCTTAGATCTCTTAAAAGAAGCCAACAAGACAGTTTTATTTGTTACCAACAATTCTACCAAATCTAGAAACGCCTACTTGAGTAAATTTGATAAACTTGGTGTTCAGGGAATTACTAAAAGTGAAGTGTTTGGGTCATCATATGCCTCTGCGGTTTACATTGATAAGATTTTAAAATTGCCAAAAGACAAAAAGATCTGGGTTTTGGGTGAAGAAGGTATTGAACGTGAATTACACGAACTAGGCTACACGACAATCGGAGGTACTGATCCAACATTGGTAGAGCATGGAGTGCATTTCGACCACGATCACCCATTGTTAACTGAACTTGATGATAACGTAGGTGCAGTGGTTACCGGATTAACATTTAACTTAAACTACTTGAAGCTTTCTATAACCATGCAATACTTGTTGAAAGACAACAAATCCATTCCTTTTATAGCCACAAACATTGACTCTACGTTCCCAATGAAGGGCAAATTATTAATTGGGGCTGGATCAATTATAGAAACAGTAGCCTATGCCAGTGGCAGACAACCAGACGCTATCTGTGGTAAGCCAAACCAATCAATGATGAATTCCATCAAAGCCGATAACCCAGGTTTGTCTTCTAAGCCATCGAGAGGTCTAATGATCGGTGACAGATTGAATACAGACATGAAATTTGGAAGAGATGGGGGGCTTGACACTTTACTTGTCTTAACTGGCATTGAAACTGAGCAAGGTGTATTATCACAAGATGCATCTACTGCTCCTACATACTATGCTGATAAGTTGGGTGACTTGTACGAACTATTTAAATAGATTATAGAGATTAAGTCTAGATTATTTTTTGCTTTTGTGTAAGTTATGACGTAGACTGAAAAGCTTCGAGACTGAGAATTAACCGTTGTAATTTTTAACAGGGTTGTTGAAAACATTTATCCTTACTACTATTCAAATCTATCTACCATCCTTTAAATTAAATAACCGTACACTGTCCTGATTTTCAATTCATCGTATCTTGACTAGAATTTTGTAATTGGGTGATTATTATTTTACATACTTGAAGGATTTAAGAATCAAAGTATTAGAAATCATTTTGAATAAAGTAAGACATTGATATAAGTTTCAAATCCGAACTATAGAATAGCAGCAAATACGTTAAATACGTACCATAATTTCAATCGTTTAAAAACATAATGTCAGAAGAAAAAACAAAGGAATTACAAGATTCAGGATTAATTGAGTGGTCTGTTTTCTCAGAATTGGTAGCCATGGATGAGGATGAGGAAGGCTTTTCAAAATCATTATTTCAAACATTCGTTGATCAAGTGTTAGAAACATTCACAGAAATTGATGAAAATTTAAAAACCAAAAACTTCGACAAAATTTCAGGATTAGGCCATTACTTGAAGGGATCAGCTGCTGCTTTGGGTTTAGAAAAGATTTCAACTCAGTGTGAAAGAATCCAAAATTATGGTCATAAGGTCAACTTTGATAACTTTAAATTAAAGGATAATAATGATCAGAAGGATGACGAATTTTGGATTAAATTGATTGAGGATGCATTAAATAAAGCTAGAGATGGTTTTGCCAAATCGAGAAAGGCTTTAAACAACTATTTTGATGACGAATTTTAACTAATTTCCAGGTAAAAGCTAAGCTCTTCATTGACGTTAATTTTAGACTGGGGTTGATTTTACTCAAATGGATTTAGATATCGAATTCTATATTATAATAATGATTGTTTTTAATGAAATAATAAAAAATGGAATCAGCAGAACCTAAGAGTAAATGAATAGACATGTTAAACTTTCTATTTGCGTTTTATACATATATGCATCTATTTTGAGTTTACTTTTATATATTTATTTTGTTCCGGATTTAATATATCAGTAATATTGATACTATGTAAGTAATTTTATACAATATTCTTTTTTTTCTCCATTAGACAATAGTCCATGTAGTCAACGTTATAAGGGACTATAGATCTCAAGTATTCTGGGATCCAAAGTACTTTACCTATTCCTGAACTTGTGCCACTGGGGTTAATAATATTGCGGCATTGCACCACAGACCAATCTTCATTGGCATTCAATTCATCACCATTTCTTTCAATGATACTTGGTTCACCAACTTCAAGATTTGCAGCTTGTGAATTATCTACATAGTAGGAACACTCCTCAAAATTAATTACCTTGTCGTTTGCATATTGGTTTTTATTATTCATATTCGGTGGAATAGAAGAAGTACTAGTTTTCAAGCTAGTTCCCTCTAAGAAATCACCAGGTAGTAAGCCATCAAATCCACTTCTAATAAATTTTAAGCGATAATTATCTGGCAAGAAAAATGAGTTAGGAAAGTGGTACCATTCACGTCCAGTACATACATTCACTGGCATATCTGATACAGGTAAGGCTGATATTTCTCTATGCACAGATAATGGAGTACTATAATTTTCCACTAAATTGATTATCCGCAAAATGGATACTACACCAACTAAAAAGGCAAATAATAGTTGGACTAATTTCTCGATATGTTTGGAATTAATCTTATTTGCTGTTACTCCCTTAGACATGAAGGTAACCATAGGAAAGATGAATGTTAATAATAACGAACTACTCAAGATCAATAATGGATATATTGGATAAAGAAACCTTTCCTCTTTGTGGGGTTGACCACCAAAAATTATTGACCAAATAAGTAACGGTGAGCTAACGGTTATCAATACTTTATACCTATTTTTTTCCCCAAACAAGAAAACATTCAAAACCAACCCGATATAGCCTAATATAGCAACTATATTAAAATTAACCAATAAATTTAAAATATAATAATGAAATGGTTCAACTCCGAAAATTTCGGGACCTTCCCCTTGCTCTCCAAAAACGTTATATAAGACGATATTCAAAGGAACTAGATCGAATTTTTGGTAAAACCATGAATCAATGGAAGTGCTGATTATTAATATGGATACCAACCCAAACACACATCCCTTAATTAGAGAAAAGAGAGTATTGTATTTGTTAATATTTTGGATCAAAATGAATAAACCAAATGGTAGGCCTAATGCAAGAGCGAATGGCCAACCAACTATACCCCCAATTAAGAACCATACAATCGCATGCACGCTGTAGCTAATATTATTTTCTGAAATCGCTAATAGCGAATTAGCCGTGGCCATAGTTACACAGTTCATAGCAAATGAAGACGGTAATAATGCAACACCAGCATGTGACATCCCTGGAGCTATAGACGATAAGAATAAGAACCAATTACCAACCTTACGATTCAAACTTGAATTTATTGAATAAAATAACCTCAATTCGGTGAAGCATGTAAACCCACATAATGCAATAAGACGAATCCAATAAAACTGATAGTATGAAGGAATATTGGCAAATGTTCCAACTAATTTAACAGGATAAGTAACTATGGCATACGGAATCAAATATGCATAAGATCTTATAGCATATTCAGGCGAATATTCCCAAGTTTGTTTGCCAAAACCTCTGATCAAGAGATTTAAAGGTTCCCAATAATTAAATGTTTCATCACAGTCGGATATTATCATGAAAAATGCTGAATAAACCCTCAATAACACATTTAAAGCAATAATACCTATCTGGAGACCATTGAGCCTTTGTGAGTCACCAACATTGGCCTTTATTGACATTATTGTACAATACAGTTCAATTCACAATAAAGAATACATTAGAAAATTGAAATTCTCGCGACAATCAAATATTTCATAAAAACACTTGCAATATAAAAACTTTAAATTAACATCTACTTGAACTAAACAAATTTCCTAAATCTAATTAATTAATGGTCTTTTCTAACATTGAGTCACGCGCTGGACCGGTACCAACCCATTGAATTGGAACACTCAAGTAATCTTCAATGTATTTCAAATACTTCTTTGCATTTTCTGGCAAATCGTCGTAATTCTTAATTTTAGTGATGTCTTGTTCCCAACCAGGTAATGTAACGTATTCCACATCAACCTTAGCTAATTTATGTAAATCTTCAGGGAAACTGTTCAATTTTTTACCATTGTAAGTATAAGAAACACCGATCTTGATTTCTTTGAACTTATCTAAGACATCTAACTTGGTGATGTTTAAAGAAGTGTATCCGTTAATCAAGGTCGAGTATTTCAAGACAACTAAATCCAACCAACCGCATCTTCTCTTTCTACCAGTAGTAACACCAAATTCAGCACCGACATCTTGTAATGTTGTACCGTACTCATTCAATTGTTCGGTTGGGAATGGACCTTCACCAACTCTAGTAGTGTAGGCCTTAACAACACCATAAACGTTGTTAATGGCCTTAGGTGGGATACCTAAACCAGTACAAACACCACCGATACCAGTTGCAGAGGAAGTAACGTATGGATAAGTACCAAAATCTATATCCAACATTAAAGCATTAGCACCTTCAACCAAAATTTTCTTCTTTTGGGAAATTGCAGTGTGCATAAATTCAATGGAGTCAACAACATGGCCCTTAAGTAACTCTCTGTATTTTTCGTACTTAGCTAATTCGGCTTCAGTATCATATTCAAAGTTACCGTATCTCTTAAATCTGGATTCAACTAAACGATGGTATCTTGTTTTGAATTCTTCCCAAGATTCTGGTTCTTCAGAGACTAAATGATGAACTCTGATACCAGATCTGGAAGCCTTGGTAGAATAAGTTGGACCAATACCCTTACCAGTTGTACCAATAGACTTCTTGTTTTCCGATAATTCAGCTTCCTTTAACTTATCAGTCCTTTGGTGAAAGTCAAAGACTAAGTGAGCTCTTGAAGAAATGAATAATCTATCACGACAGTGTAAACCCTTCTTTTCCAAGTTTTCTAATTCCTCAAAAAGTGAAGGAACGTGGATAACAACACCTGAACCAACCAAGTTCAAACATTTAGGGTTAACTAATCCTGATGGCAACATGTGGAAATCATACTTGACATCACCAACAACAATAGTATGACCAGCATTATTACCACCTTGGCATCTGGCACAAACATCAACTTCGTCGCATAATACGTCAACTAATTTCCCTTTTCCTTCATCACCCCATTGGGATCCTAAGACGACGTCACACATGTTTGATTGATTAATTGAAATAAAAGTAAATAACCTTTAAAGAACAAAGACTTCTAATGAATAACAATAAAGTCCCGTTAAAACAAAAAGAAAACCAAAAAAAAAAAATGAAAAATGAAGAAATTCATTAAATCTCATTCACCAACGAAAATTTGAGATTTCAGAGTGAGAATTATGAATCATTCAAAAATTAGATAATGAATAAGTCTGTTAGTTGACTCTGAAAATTGCACATAGCTTAACAAATATCGATTTATAATATTGATGAATGTAGCATATGTAGATATATTTCAGAGGTGTTGTGAGCTTCCAAGTATCACACGTTAGTGTTTCAATGTCGATAATCTCGAACCCTGAGAAGCATACCTTAAATTATATTCCGTGGGGTATAATTCAATGCAACTAAACGTGAAATCATGCATATCATTGGTTAATAGTATTGATATATTTGTAGAGTGATCTTATAGAGACATCCGTGAGAGCTTGGGCCATTTATTATATTTATTTCGAAATTTATGCAAAATTGCAAAAAAAATGCAACCTCCTTATGGCAGAACTGGCAAACCTATCAAATCAAACATTTTACTTAAAAAAGTTGAGCTAAAGGTACATACGAATGGCTCAACCAATAATCTTCTAAGCTCTCAGAATATTCGTTTAGGTAGTATAGTTTTTATCTGTTTGTATTACCTGCGGCTCCTATAGTAATCATTTCGCAACCACAAATAACGTAAAACATAAGATAAAGCTTACAATAAAATTAATAATACAGCGTGTTTACTATTCTAAGTCTCCTCTATATTAAAAGATACAATATATTCACATAATTTCATTTTGAAATGCACCTTTGCAAACTTTTTGCTAATTCTATTCACAAAGATCCTCCTTTTAGAAATCCATATGTTTATTTGAAGGAAGAAGAATTTATAAGATTGCAGAAACAAAAACAACTATCAGAATCAAAGCTATTAAAAGAAAGAAAGGAAGAAGAAAACTTTAAGCATAATCAAATTATTTTGGCTTTAGATAATTTAAGCAATGCAGTGGGGACGAAAAAATTAGGTGATACTCGGAAGAAGCTAATTAAAAAAAAAGAAAATCTTATGGAGATTATATTTCCAATTGAGTCAAATACTTCCAGCGAAGACTCTAGCAAAGAAATTCATAGTAATGAGAGAAGCAATCGAAATATAAAGGAAAACAGGGGATTATTCAGATTCTTCACTTCTCATATATCTAAATCCACGATTAATTCTTGCCTCACATCTCTTTGCACAAAAGACTTTAGTGATTCTGAATACACAGATATCACCACAACATCTTACAGCCCTGAAGCTATGAATAATGATGCTACCAACACTACTAATACGTCTATTTGTAGTTCCGTAGTAGCCCTTAAATCTAAAGATTCCTTTCTTCCCTCATCGGATGCAGCTGCAAAATTGGAGTATCTGTCTTCCCCCGATTATTCAACAACTAGTTATCGAATTTCCTACGATGATAATAATCGACTTCTAGCCGATGGTGTATACCCATTAATAGAGTCTTCTTCCTTTTACTCATTAAAAACCTCAAGTCTACCACCAGGTCTAAGAACTTTTCCTAAAATTCTGGAACTTTCAATTAATTCTAACACATATCATAATAATAGACCATTTATTAAGACTGTCTTTTTCTCTGATACTATTCTGAATTGCTCAAGGAATACCTATTCTACAGAAAGTGAAAGTACAGTAAATTTAGCTCCTGATACTTATGAAGTTCAAAGACCCGAAAACCACGATTTTCCAGCGAGCAAGATATCATATATTTCTAATCAGAAAGAAAGTGACTTTTATAATATTGATGGAAGTATTGTGTTACCCAAAGCTAATTATACAGATAGTCAGTTAAGCTCATTTAGAGAAAGATACCATAGGCATTCTATCACATCAAACAAGTTGCGACTTCACAGTTTTTGTTCGAACAAACAAGAAATAGAACCAAGGCAGCTCAAATACACTACTCATGAACAGTCACCCAATGAACTAGGAAATAAAATATGCACAAGAAGTTTTAAAAATAGCGAGAAGAATAGTATTGACTACTTAAGTGATATTAGCTCTAATTTCATACATAGACAAATCGAAGAATTCGAAAGTTCTAGCGTCTATGAATCTGGATCTGATAGATACTATTGTCAAGATTATCTGATACTATAGTAGGGAAATTGAAATTTCGGTGCATCCTTAGCTCTGTTGTCTATAAATAGATAAATCGCTATTAATATTTCAAGACAAAAATTTAAATATAAATGGTTTCGTGGTCTAGTTGGTTATGGCATCTGCTTAACACGCAGAACGTCCCCAGTTCGATCCTGGGCGAAATCATTTTTTTTGGTTCACATGTATTTTACATTTAAACTATTGTGCAATATTCATCATTAATGTTAGAGACTTCTTATAAGATGATGGAATGTTTATAAAATTATTTAACAAATGAGAAAATTAAATTCTTTATATATATATATACCCTAAGTAATTTAATTCAATTTAGCTAAAATAGCGTCAGTGAATTCAGTAGTAGAGGAAGTACCACCGATATCTTTAGTTCTAACGTTACCTTCGGCAATGACGTCGTAGGTAGCCTTAGAGATTTTGTCAGCATGATCGTTTAAGCCTAAGTGTCTCAATAACATAGCAGCAGACAAGATCATAGCGGTTGGGTTAGCGGTGTTTTGACCCTTAATATCTAAACCAACGTGTCTACAACCTGGTTCGAAAACAGCGTATTCTCTACCAAAGTTAGCACCTGGAACTAAACCTGGACCACCAATCAAAGCAGCACCGATGTTAGATAAAATGGTACCGTACAAGTTTGGAGTGACTAAGACGTCGAATTGTTGTGGCTTGGCAACAGCTTGCATAGAAGCATTGTCAACAATCAAGTCATTAACTTCAATACCAGAGTAGTCTTGACCAACGTCCTTGACAGTGGTTCTGAATAAACCATCACCTAATTTCATGATGTTGGCCTTGTGGATAGCGGTGACCAATTTTCTGTTGTTCTTCTTAGCAAAGTCAAAGGCGAACTTGGCAATTCTTTCAGACTTGAATCTAGTCATGATCTTTAAGGATTCAACAACACCTGGGTATGATTGGTGTTCTAAACCAGAGTATTCACCTTCGGTGTTTTCTCTGACTAAGGCAAAGTCAATACCTTCTAATCTACCCTTGACACCTGGAATGTTTTTAATCAAAACTAAAGAAGCGTAGATGTCCAATTCTTTTCTTAATGCAACATTTAAAGATTTACCCGAAGAGCCGGTTGGAGTGTACAAGATACCCTTTAAACCAACCTTGTTTCTCTTCAACGATTCAACAGCTTCAGTAACACCGTTACCAGCTTCTAATCCAGAAACATCAACAACTTCCCATTCAATTGGGACGTTTTGGTTGCTGAAGATGGTTCTGACTGAGTCGGTGATTTCCTTACCAACACCATCCCCTGGAATCAAAGTAACAGTATATTTACCACCGTATTTCTTTGGCAAAGCGGATTCAGGCGAAATAAAAGTAGCCAACTTACGAATGGAGCTCTAGAACGCATAGTTAGTAATTTATCCTTTTTTTCCCTTCATCTCTCGGTCTATATTTATCCGCAGACCTATCTATCTGACCCTTCCAATTAGACTCTATCCTAATAAGAAACTTACTTTTTGAATACCAGATCTGAACATTGTTATATACAATCAATTTATAATTAATTTCAATTAGCAAATATTAAACAATAAAATATTTGATTAAAGATCTCCGACAGGGAGTTGAACATTGAACATTGAAATTTTTTTGATTTTTTTCTATTTGCACCTTAAGAGCTTTTGTGTAATAATTTACATCGGAGATCATTAATATTTCCACTCCGGCCGGCTCCGACGGACTCTCGGAAAAATCGATATGATTGGCTGAAATAACAAGAGGCACTTAGCACTCTATCCGGTATATAAATATTATTATCTGCAGTACGGGACATAATTAATTTTTCAGTCATATTGGTATAGATTATAGGGTGTATAGCAGTGACCAGCAGTTGATAGGAGCAAATATAATGACATTTAAGCGGTTATACAAGGAGTTACAGAAGGAGTTATCGATAATTAATAGTAAGACGTACAAGACGCATTGCGAGAAGGAGTTGAAGCATCGTAAGACCAAGTTACAGTACCAGAAGTTCCAAGCGATCAAAGAGAAGTTGCCTACGAAGCACATTGATGAGCAGCTTGCGAAGTTGGAAAGTGGGGATGTGAAGGCTCCACGGATCAATAGTAGTATAATCAAGGAGATCGTGGTGGAAAAAGAAGCCACCAGGATGAATTTGAAGCATATGGAAAATATCAAGATATTTTTGAATTCGCAACGGGTGTACACAGAGTTGATCGAGAGGTACAATCCGGGATTGACGATGGACCAGGAGGATAAGGTGAGGAGAACGGCCAACAGGGTTGGATTGGCGGTTCCCGAAAATTAGAGATGTACATAGAAATATACGAAATATGCGAAGAGGCGATGTAGAATGAGGGATATAGGAGCGGTGAAGAATTGTTGAAGTAGGTGTTGAGAATGAGCTAGAGGATGAACTGGAAAGTAAGGTATAAGCTGAGAAATGGCTTGAAGGATAGGTTGTCATGGTCTGAAAGATGGCTGAAATGATCTGAAAGATAGGTACAATGATAGTCAGATACCTAGGAAAACTCTAATATAATAATACATTCATTATTAGATAAATAGTATACAATAGCTATACATTAATAAGCAATTTCCCACCATGATTTTCATTCTACGTTCTTTCGTTTGGACCCACCTACCCAGATATAATCATAATCATTCTTCCTCTTCAAATTGCAGTTTGTTGTCAACAACACGTTATTAGTCTGCTTTATCGACGTATTTTCCTGGTAAAACTTCTTCAAGTTTTCAATTATAAGCAAGTCGTCATAATACTGATAATTCAAGGGAATAATCAGAGGCCTTGTGATTTTGAGGTTAGTGTAGCTGGCATCAAAGTTGAAATTATAGTTATCCATAAGATAAGACATAGCCACACCAGTAGAGAGTTGGCTGTTTCCATCGGGCGACACTATAAGCGTCCCAATAGAGTTGTTCATATTTTTTAACAATTTAAGCAAGCGGTTGATGTTGAAAAATTGCTCTTTCAAATTTCCCGTCAATATTGGACTGCTAATGTTGAGCGGCTTGTTCTGTGGAAACTTGTGGATTAGATTATTTACTTCTGGATTCAAGTTGTAGAAAAAACTAATGTAATTTTGCAAAATTCGATTGAATCTGCTCATGTAGTCGTTCAAAAGAGGCATCTCATCGTCTGTCACCTTTCCAGAATCAAACGGCGGGTCCAACAGCAATATGACCAAATCCGAAGACATGCTCATGCCACTGGCACTCAATTCTTTCAAGAATTTACATGTAGGCGAACAATTGATGATCACCTTGATATTCTTTGCGTCCAAAAATGGCTGCTGTGAAAGCACCGAGTACGACCCTAACCAAACCGACGGCGATATTTCTGAGGCTTCTCCATCAATATTCATATCATTATCATTTTCCATTCCTATATCCATCTCTGGTCTTGTACCGCGTATCCAACTTGTGTGTCTATCTCTGTATTGTGCAATATAATGTTGAATTAAGTAGTGTTGCAATATTGTTGCTTGCTTGTATAATAATAATAAAATTAAAGGGTTGAGCCTAATTAAGTTTAATTATACAAAGAAATCTGTTAAAACACCTCACTTATAAATTATTACAATTTACCTGAAATAGCTGCATTTGCAAGCTTTATAACTATAGCATAATGCCTTAGACGTGTTGAAATATTTCACTGGTTATGAAGTTTGACCGAAATGTCACATGATTACGTAATTAAAAGACATCGGCGTTTTTTTTGCTGTGCGGAGTTAAATTGAAAATAATGCGACATTAATTGTTAGGTCTAATACGGGATGGATAGCAATGAGATACGACATAGCAGTCAGAGGAGTGACGGTAAAAAATAGGGTAATTGGTCATGTTCGAATCATCGCCCTGGATCGTAGAGCCTAGACACAATTCAATTCAAAGGTTAAGCGAAGCCAGGGCTGTAGATTATGGACATGCATTGAGTAAGCGTATAGTTAATCGTATCGTGAATGTGTTCACGTAAGTACTAACTCGTAAGTCGAGAAACGAATTCAAAAGCACGGACGCATTGTGGACTTCTGAAGATAGAATGTATGGTGTAGATGGCGAGTTTGATAAAGATGCCACTATGCACCAATTTCACAGGATTGCAACAAAGTAGTGCACTTACCAACGAGTTTGGGTCCTTAAGGTGTCCTTATGGCATAATAAAGGAATACAAGGACATTCAAGACAACGTATATCAAGATGATGCATCCATTCTTTTCAGCAGCTAGAAACTCAACTAGGGTTGCGTCGATGAGATCGATGTTGACCAGGAGTTTCGTTTCCAAACCTCAATTTGTCAACACCAGAATTATGTCCACTGGAACCATGATGCCTAAGATGAAGTTATTTGTGGGGTCAGTAGGGGCTTTTTATTTGGCTAACAAGCTTCAATCTAGATCGACTATCTTAAATGATGCTGTTTTTGCTGGAAATAGAGGAATAACTACCCAGCCACCTGTTGTACAAGAACAGAAAGTGATCAAATCGAGGTTTGGGGGAAAATTGGACTACCAGGAATTGACTATTGGTTCAATTACAGGGTTGTTCTTAGGGATACTTGCAGGAAAATTAAGCTCTGCAATTGTATTCTTGACGTTATCAGGCTACCTTTTGACCCAATTTTTAGAGAATAGGGGTATTATCACCATTCCATGGAGACAGTTTGTCAATATTGGGTCTGAAAAAATTGACGTCAAGAGATTGGTGTTGAACCAACCTAGTTTTAAGATATCATTTGTATTGACATTTTTAATCGCCGCATTCAATGTATAAAGTGCCACAAGCATTGCCTAAATAAGTACGTATAGTTTACAAATATGCGATTTAAAGAATTTTAATTACGTCTGTAGAAATAGCAAGAGATAGATAGTTAAAAACATTCAGATTCATAGTTTAGCACTTCTACAAATGATCTTAATATTAATAATATGCAATTGGAAACAATATATATGTACATAATCTATTTTAACATTTTGGCATACGGGCTAAAACATCGAACGAACCAGTACCAACATTCGACAATTTACCCATAACAATTCTTGCACTTGGACTTTCCAAGTCTTCTCTTTCACCATCCAAGACAGCCTTGGTCAAGAATTGACAAGTAGTTTCATATGACATTTTCATAAATGCAGATGTTGAGGAATCAATACCTTGTCTGTTAAATGCCAAGTAAGTACCCTCTCTCGTCATCATATCACCAATTAAATCAAGATGACGAGATGAAACGGCAATAGCATATCTGTCGAAAACATTCTTAATTTCGTTGACAATAGTATTTCTAGCAGCTTCAACACCATATGTACGCAAAACAGCAGCAATATCATTGGAAGATATACCATTGACGTTAATGAAATCATCTTGGTCCCACATGGCTTGGAAATTAACACCTTCAGTTGTTAAAATACGCTTTCCGCCAACTTCTGGTTGTGGGTGAAGACAACGTCCGATTCTTGGAATTTCTCTTACAACGACTTTACGACAAATTTCTTCAACAATGTTAACCATCAACAATTTCTGAGAATCACCAGATAAATCCAATTTGAATTCACACCATTCACCATTATCATCATCAAAATTGAATTTACTTATTAAGTTATGGGATGATATAACTTCAGATTGACGGTCTTTAGCGGTTCTTGATAAAGTCTTTGGTTCTTCCTTTTTGTTGCTATCTTCAGGTGTCATTTCTTCATCTGATTCATCATCAGATGAGTCATCAGAAGAGGATGAGTCTTCCATATCTTCATCAGATGTTTCTTCGGCCCTTTTCATGGTTTCAATTTCTTCATCATCAGGCTCATCATACGAAGCTGCTTCCTTGCTATTAGAATGCTTTTCATCTGAAGCGGATCCGTCTTCATTTTCATTTGGTATACTAGCGCCGCTGCTAATAGCCAAATCAGTTTGAGATTTTGGTACTGCTGCACCGACAGTAGGTAACGCATCTGGTTTACGTTGCTTCTTAACTTCCTTAACAACCTGAGCTTCCAATGCATCCAAGAACTTATCAGTGACAACAGTTTCTAAGTGTTGTTGAGTGATATCGTATTCTTGTTCATATTCCTTACGTGAATAGAATCTCATATTGATTGTGTAGGATCTTGAATTGTCACCAGATCCGGAAGACCCAGTACTTTCAGTAACTAAAATCTTATCAATAAATTCAGATAATACAACTTTAGCAGCAGATTTACAGAATGAGTCTGCTTGTGAATCAGTAACGTCATCTAATATTGGTAATGTCATCTGAGGAGTCTTGATCGCAGCAGATGCAGTCATAATAATTTCTCTCATACGTGGAATACCTAATGTGACATTAGCAGCACCGTGACCTGCAAAATGGAAGGTATTTAAAGTCATTTGAGTTGATGGTTCACCAATAGATTGAGATGCAATAATACCAACAGATTCACCTGGGTTAATTACTGATCTCATATATTTCAACTGCATCAAAGCACGGAATTTCTTTTCACTCAATGTAGGAGAATTACTCTTCTTTTCCTTAGATGAAAATAATGATGGGTTCTTGTTTACAAAATCATCCAACTTGTCTTGGAAAGTTTCAGAAACAGCTCCCAAATATTTAGATGGATTATAAACAGATAACACTGGATCATACTTATTAGTTTGTTCGTAATGAGGCAATTTACTTTGCTTCTTCATGTTCTTACGAACCTTTTTAGCGTACAGTAATGCCAGATCAGTATCCAAATGATTCGAGAATTCACCAGGGTTATATTTAGCCAATAAAGCATCATAGTTTTCAATACAAAACTTAAATTCATTCATATGCGATTGCTTGGTAGTATCAATAGCATCACCACCGTACAAGAATTGAATCAAAGTTCCATCACCATCCCTGACAGAGTTATCGTAGCTGACATGGACACCTTCTAATTGTTTTGTTAAACAACGCTGTAAGTAACCAGATCTGGAAGTCTTAACGGCAGTATCAATTAAACCTTCACGCCCTGCCATACAATGGAAGTAATATTCTTGAGGTCTGATACCGGAATAGAAACGTCCCTTAATATAACCACCTGCTCTTGCATCGGTTTCAAATGGTTTGAAGGATGGTAATGTTTTACCTGAAACCATAACTGGAACTCTTCTACCTTCTAAAGCTTGTTGACCCAATAAACACATAATTTGGGAAACATTGACATTCGAACCCTTTGCACCAGACAAAGCCATAGCTTGCATAGAATTATATGGAAAACGCTTCATGGTACCACCTGGAACACACTTGGAAACAACCTGAGAAGTAATAGCATTTACTTTAGATTGCGTAACGGCATCTAAAATACCTAATTTATTATCATCACGTAAAATTTCTTCAAGACGTCTTAATAATTCTTTATCATTATTAGCTGTATCTTTATCCAAGTTGGTAACTTCTGCGGCTGTAGCTCTACCAATATCTACAGATTGCTTTAAGATGTCACGTCTCCATTTGTTACCCTCAGAAGTCAAACGCAAATCATCCATACCACAAGTGAATGCAGTCATCATAATGTAGTTAGTGAATAATCTACCCAAAACAGATAATGCTTTACCAGCAACGGTTGGTCCGTAAACTTCATGCAAAGAATGAACGATACCAAATTGGGAGGCACCATATTGCGACTTATCTAAGATACCGCACAACAATTCACCATTCTTGAAAATAACTTCATTTTCAGTTGAACCTTCACCCCAGTATTCATTTTTAATTTTATTTTTAGACTGTAAGTTAACACCTGGAACATTATCTGGTTTGATATTTAAAAGGATAGTTGTAATAACTTGCTTACCAGTCCATAATGGTTGAGGCTTGAAAATTGTTGGTGGAACAGTGATTATTCTACTATTAGTTGTATGTCCATCCTCTGGACGAATACAACCGTAAATCAATTGTTGATAAGTCTCTCTCGTGAAGAAACTATCTTTGCTTGTCAACCACACACCAGCAGAAATGTGATCTTGAATTAACCCTCTTAATGGAGATCCTGAAGTTGGTGTTAAATATTGCGAATCAGTGTTGGCTAAATTCAAGGCTTCAGCCTTTGCATTTTCATTTTGTGGGAAATGCATGTTCATTTCGTCACCATCGAAATCAGCATTATAAGCACCTGTGTTAGCATAATGTAAACGCAAAGTTTTCTCACCTGGTAAGACTCTGACCTTATGACCCATCATAGAAGCTTTATGTAAAGTAGGTTGACGGTTCATAATAACAACATCCTTATTCTTAATATGTCTATAAACCTTCTTATTAATGACAGTTTCACCATTGGAAGGAGTTAATAATTGGTTAGCCAAAGTTTTACGTTGTTCTAAGGTCATACCAATCAAAGAAATCAAGGAGCCATCCTCATTTTGAATTTGAATTGCACCTGGCCATTTATCTGGACCATTAATAACAGCTTGTCTTAATTCTGATGCATTGTATGAAGTAACTGGCTCTGGGTATGTTAATTTCTTAGCAAAAACAGGAGGAACACCAATTTCGTTGGTTTCTAACATTGGATCTGGAGAAATAACCGAACGTGCGGCATAATTGACTCTCTTACCCATCATATGCTTTCTGAATAAACCTTCTTTCTTTTCTAACGCTTGCTTAATACCAGGATTTGGAACCTTTCCTGCTGGAGCATTTTGATTTTTAGTAGAGTCAATAAAAGCATTAACATCATTTTGAATTGTAACGAATGAATTCATCAATCTGTTGAAAATTATTTTTCTTTCATCAATAGATAATTTTCCTTTCTGTAAGCTCGAAATTTGATCATTTAAATCTCTAATTAATAAGGAAGTCTTCAAAATGTTTGACAATAATTCATTCTGAGAATTTTCATGAATTTCATCTCCTAATTTAGAAGGTAATCTGAATCTTGTTGGAGGAACAACTAAAGCTTGAATGAAGAAGACATCAGAAGTCACAGGCTCATTATGATGAGGTCTAGAGTGGAAAAGCTTTTGAATAATACGTTGCTCTTTTTGGAAAACAGATCTTAAAATGTTTCTAATTTCTGTAGACAATACATACTTAGATCCTCCCTTATGCTTGATACTTGGGATGTTTTCATTGGTTTGGTTACTGCCAGAATTAGCAGACGAACCAGATTTCAATACATCAGGACGCTTTAAACCTTTAACTCTATTGTTGGTAATTTGCTTATCCTTTAACGCATTTTCGAAGATTTTGGTGAAACCATCTTTTCTGAAAGTTGCAGAATACATGCCACAGTTGTCACATTTTGGTCTGCTCAATAACTTTTTATAGAATTCGTGAATTGTAGCCTTTCTTTCTTCACCAACAGAGGCAGTAATAACACCAAATTGGCTACTTCTGCCTTCGCTAATGGCCTTAGCAATTGCAGTATCGACAAACAATTCCCGGCGCTCGCGCAATTCCTTCTTAGCTCTTGGATCAGCATTCTTTGATGATGGTCCATCCTCATCGTCATCATCATCATTGTTTTCTGCCCCCTTTATTAACATGTTGTCCAATTCAATACATTCGAGCAACAATCCGTACTGAATTAAACGTAACTTACATTCATAACGGTGCACTTCCAAAGAGCTGTATCTGAAATGGTGACAGTAGAGACAACTCGACCTCAAGAATATGTATAATTGGTTGAAAAATAAAGGATTATAAACTGGTACTGGCAATTCAATATGTCCTTGATGTCCCGGACAGAACTTTTCATCTAATCCACATGTAGTACATAAATTCCTAAGGAATGCACCTAATGCTAAATCATAAAGACCACTGTTAATTGGGTGTCCCAAATTATCAAAAACAGTTGGATTGGTAATTTGTTTTGCTGATAGTCTTCTGATTTCATCGGCAGACAATACACCGAAATCAACAGATGTAATTTCAGAACCAACAGGCTTAGAGATATCCATGGCTGGGTGTATTCCTTGCTTAATTAAATCAGTGTTTCTGTTGACTTTCAATTAACCCTATCAAAAAGCTCATCTCTGGATCTTAGCGTTAAATTTTGCACAGAAAAAAAAAAAAAAAATTGAGCCATCACGTGAACGATAGACTTCCCTTTACAGTAATAAGTAAAAAACTTTAGAATTACAATAAATACATCAATACATAAAAACAATACAACTATTCGAAATGAATATAGTTAGGGAGATATCTAATTAATTCAAGCATCATCGGACTTACCTAAATGTAACCCTTTCTTGAATACCTTACCGACACCACCAACACCCTTGCCGACACCCTTTCCGACACCACCTACACCTTTTCCAATACCTTTTCCAACACCGCCGACACCTTTACCGACAGTACCAAAGGCATCACCAATGTTCGAAGCATCTGATGGTAAAACGTTTAAGACCAACTCTGGCTTGAAAGAACCCTTAAGGTAAACAGTACCACCATCACCACCTTCTTCGGTAGTCAATGGACAGGTGAATTCTGTGGTTTCGCCATTGTTTTCGTAAATTTCGGATAAATTGATGTAACCGATACCCAAAAGATCATCCTTTTCAGGACCAATATCCCAATCGTTACAAACAACCTTGACAACAGAATCGTAGAAGTTAGCTACCTTAGTACTTCCGCTTTCATTCCAAACAGGATCGAGAGTTCTCTTTATCTTCTTAGTCTTCAAGAAACTTTCTTTGTCTGTGTTCAAGTACAATGCGACGTATGGGTCTGACTTACCGTTTCTGTCGGCAGAAATCAAATTCTCGGCGTTGCTGACCTCAATAGTAACAACACCCGAGTTATTGTGAGAATCTTGCGGAGGAATTGCAGTTTGGTAAATAACTGGGATCCAAGAGCATTGAATCTTGAAAGAGCCATTTGCAGCACCGTCAATATTGATGGTGTATGGAGCATTATATGCGTTTCTTAATAATTCTACAGTAGGGATATTAAGCTCAGCAAGTACCTTTTCAGCCCTATTATCTTCCTTATCTTTAGTTAATCTGAAATAAGCTTGAGACTCATCTAATTCCTTAATGACGACATCACCAGTAGTACCAATCTTCTTATCTTTCCTTGATAATTTCGGAGTAATGTAATCATTGTAGCCATGATTGTCGAAGAAGGCTTGCATGTAAACGCCATCTTTGCCAACGGAACCTTCAATAACCTCGTAGATAAGGACACCACTTTTATATTCGACTAACTCCTCTAAAGATAATCTTAATTTGGCTGCTCTGACACTTTCTTCATCTTCTGCTTCATTTTCCTCATCAGTAGCGCTGTCATCAGTATTCTTCTCTTCGACATCCGCTTCTTCTACCTTGGTCTTATCACCTTCGCCAGCGGCCTTGGCAGCTTTTTCTTCGGCTTCCTTTCTAGCTTCTTCAGCATCAGCCTCTTCTTCCTTAATATCTTCTAAGGACATCACAGGTAATGTAGGATAGAAAGATAAGGAATAAGTAAGAGTACCTTTAGGACCACTCTTATGAATCAATTTTGATTCTCTCTTCTCAGTATCAACATATTCAATATATTCACCCTTCTCATTCTTACTAACAATGTCATTCAATTTAACATCAAAAGATCCCAAGGTACGATCAGGAGAACGTGATTCAACATCCATAACTTCAAGAGTTAATTTTTGATTTGCTGAAGAAACAGTTACATAATGAATTTCGTTCCATGTTGGATTCAATGTAGAATCGGCAGCTGCAGTTCTACATCTCTGGAAACCATTGACCATGACCCTAGCGTATGGATCAACCTTACCAATTCTTTCTAAGTTACGTAAATCTTCAGCTCTATCAATACTAATTCTGACAACTCCCTTTGGAGGAGTGTAACCACCGGCACCACTGGCATCAGTTAATGCGACAGACTTCCAAGTTGCCAGGATATGAACTTCACCTCCATTTGATAATGGGAACCAACTTTCTTGAACTTGAGTAGCATCAATAAGTTCATTCAATGTTACGAAAACAGTTCCTAAAGTCTTTTTAGATTTATCATTCTTCACTACAACCTTGACCTTAGACTTAGCACGGTTATCAACAATCTTTTCATGTGATGCATTCCATGCTGGATCATTAGTTTTCTTTTGAACAGGAGTCTTAACCAATAAGTCTTTATTATAGTATAACTCAACATAAGTAGATGCAGCCTTTTCTTTAGTCTTTAAGTGTCTTGCGCCTGAAACTTCAATTCTTGCAATACCAGTATTTAAGTCAGGAGGTGGGACAATTGCACCATCAGCTTGTTGTTCAGGTTCAAGAGTAGGCATGAAGTGCATACCGAATTGTAATTCACCAACAGGTTTGTTATTTCTAACAAAAGCGCCTGAAAGATTGTGCTGTTCAGGGTTTTCACGCAAAGCTTCTAAATCAAATTGAATAGTACCAACTTGCTTGTCTTTTCTAATATCATTGTAGTCAATTACTGCAATAGACAAAGGTTCAGATAATGACTTAATTGGAATATAAACCGTTTCGTCCCATACAGGTCTGGATGTATTTTCCTTAACTGAGGTTTGGGCCAAAACTTTCTTTTGGAAACCAAATGTTAAGTAAGGGTCTAAAGTGCTACCAAGATAATTAAAGCCCTTTAATCCTCTAGCAGAATGCGCTGAAATAGCTAAAACACCAATGGCAGAATCTAAACCATTACCAGCCAACAATTGCTGAACATTTAATTGGAATGATAATGGCGAGAAAACCATAGGACCAGCATACTTCTTGATCATTTGATGAATAAACGGCAATAAACCCGGCATAGCTAAAACTTCCCAGTTGAAAATAGTGTCACCGAAAGGCTTGCAGTTGAAGTCAAATTGAGGTGGTTCTAATAAAGAAACATTAACGGTTTCAATATGAGGAAATGAGGACATCATTCTCATTCTAATTCTAAGAAATACTTTGAATGAAACATCAGACACAGCTACTGGAATCTCAATACCAAATAAATTGGCCTTAACAATAACTTTTTGATTTACTCTATTCTTTAATTGTTTATTGTTGGAATCAGCCAACGCATTAGGGGTAAAAGAACAACCCCAATCCATGACAACAACATCACTATCGGTACCTGGCAAAGTCTTAGCACAATCAATACGTGGAGGCTTTGTACCAGCTGTGAAACTATCAATCCATAAGGCCTTGATGAAAGCTGGAGCAGGAGATGCCGCTAAAATTGGATTGACTTGCTCACAGACAATCTGTGAAACGGAAGGTTCCAAAAAGTACCAGAATTTTTCCAAGAAAACATTACACCAGTCCATAGTTTCATAATCATCCTCAATTGACTTGATCGAAAATTCTCTTTGCGCTTCTTCTCTCAAAAGCGTTCTATATTTTTTGATAGAACTACGGTACAAAATAGCAAAAACAACCATTATGAAGAAAACTGGCGCAAGAGTGAATCTGAACCACCCTACTATCCACGATAACGCACCCCCAAGTATCAAGAACCCAACATTGTGGTACCAGTCACCGTACGCTGCTGCTGGCAAGTACGTATCAAAAAAAGAGCTGTGAGACAACAAGTCGGTCGCTTCGTCTTCTTCCGTCAATGCATCCTTCTCTTCGTAATTCCCTACCTCTTTCCATCCTCTATAGGTAGGATCAACTGATTGTCTTGGTGGAGGCTTGGTCTTAATATTCGAAAGATCCAAATCCTCACTAGGGGTCCAATCGATAGTGGTAGTTGTAGCGCCTGACGCCTTGCTCATCTTGGCCTGACTTCTTTCCACAACATCTTGTTTTATGGCTTCATCTTTAATTGGTGCGGGTTGCTCAACTTCAACCTGTTCTGGGGGCTGAAGCATTTCATCTGGCTGTTTTGATTAGTTAGTAGCCGTTCATTAAATCCTGAAGTAAACAACGAATAATTGCAATTGATCTTACTTACATTTGCGGATGCCGCATTTTGAGAGTCCATGTTGAATTAATTGAACTATCTGCTATAGATTATCTATTAATTGTTTAATTATTTCAATTATTGAAGAAACTATATTATTGCTTTCTTACTACTAAAATCATTGACATTTTTGATATTCAGGAACCGCAACGTAAGTGAAAAATTGAAGTCACGAGTAGCGAATATGGAAATTCCATCTGAACAATAAACCTGTTCCAGCCGTCTTTGTTCGAGTATTAACATTCACGTGAGACGTAGACATACATTGAGTAGAATATATACATACTAATCTAAAGTTACAGGATCCTCCCAACTACCTCTTCCTTTATAACCGTCAGATGCATGCTCGTGTAGGTTGGATAAACGCAATAATTCGTTATCCAAGCCATCGTTGAAGACATCATCGGTGGATTCTAGCATTTGGGGGTCGATTTGCGTGTTTTCGTGCTGGCGAATGGAGGGTTGTGCAGGGGGGTCGTCGTCATCGTCGTCAGAGAGGATAACAACTTCTTCGGGCTCATGGGAGACTCGGGACCTGGTGGTGGGCCAATTGGCCTTGGAATCGTCGATTATTTTGTACTTGACCATGTCCATAAGTTCAATACGGTCGATATGCTTGGGGGTTGTTTTGACGAAGAAATTGAATACGTCACTAATGTACAACTGATTTAATGCGAAGCTGACGTTGCAGACGGGGCACTTGTAGGTGGGGATTTTGGGCTGGGCAAAGGGCTGCTTGTAGTTTTTTATAGATGGGGTGAATGAAGGGAATTGAATGACGTTCAATGGATTGCTGGGGGTGGCAGCAGGGCCCTCGTATTTAGTGTAGCCTGTGAGGTTCAACTTGGACAGCTTTTCAAATTTTTTCAAATCCAAATTACGCTTCGCTAGGTCCTTTTTGATCAAGTTTTTCACCCCAGTAGGTATTTTATTAAAAATGCAAAAGTTTTCGAAGTCAAAGCATTCGAAATGATGGCACAAGTTTGATTTCACCGGTAAACCAATCTTGCTGGCCGATAAGGGGTCTTTCAACGTAAACACCATTTTTTCAATCATACCCAAATCATCGTCTGTATCTCCCACGTCTCCGAGCTCTTTCTTTATTATCGATATGAGATTCTTGGGTATTATTCTATAGCCCGCAGACTTATCTTCCACCTCGTTTGTATCACTTTTGCTTATGATTTGTGTTCCTTGACTTGTAGATGGAGCCTTGTGTGTAATCTCACTCGATGGTAAGGTGTTCGATGAAGATAGTGCTTTATTCAATTCCAAATCTAATGAAGAAAGATCACTGTCACTATCCTCATATTCATGCTTTATTTTCTCGTCAGTGTTGTCTTTGGATTGTTTCTCCGTTACTGGAGGGTCGGTTTCATTGCGATTGGTAAATGGATAGGCCAACGACCCTAGTACTTTTGATGGAAGCCGTACCAGAACATTAAACTTTTGAATTTGTCTCCCATTATAAATATGACACTCAGTAGAAAATGACACATTACTTCCTGCTGACTTGGGTCCTTTTAATCGTATATTGGGTGCCATAATTATGGTAGTTATGCATGGGAGCTGGTGTTGATAAATTAATTTCAAAACGGTAACAACCTTTTTTTCGATGCTTCTTTTGATCGATTTCTAGTACGGTTACCAGCAGTTAATATAAGTTAAAAAAGAATAATATAGGCAGTCTATGAATATTATACTATAAAATTAGTGTTCTTCGGTATAGGCAAATCTCAATTTTAGAGATGTGCTCTCAGAAAAAATCCGTCTGCAACCACAAATGTTCATTCAAGAGGTTTATAGAATAAAATATGACCAAAATTTGCAAATGTAAAAACTTTATAATCGGAAAAACATAATTATATCAAGCTGAATACTCATCAAATGTTTCGTGTTATAGGATATACTCGAATGGAAATAATTGCATTATTATTTTAGCATGATTCAATATATATTAACTTCTATACAGATCAATGTTCTTAATAATTATTCATAGAAAATAAATAGCCATCACAAATGTACACCAGCTTAGCCCATCTTAGGCATCCATTAACATATTTACAAAATCCCAGCAGGGGTCAGGATGAAGTGAGCAGGATCACAAGGTGAATAATGGCTATGCACAACATACTTAGTTTTCAATGCCTTCAAAGTGGAACTCTTCTTCTAATGCAGCTGATATTTCTTCTTCTAAGAGGGTTGTTAAGGCAGAACCATCTCTCAAGGTGATCCATTTTCCACCTATCATATCATACCTTTTAGGACCACTAATAGGACTACTCAACCAAATTTGCTTGTTTGGTGGCTGCTTATTAATAACATACGTTCCATTTGGTGGCACCGACAATGTCATGACACCTTGAGTTAATTCACAATCGATCTGGGGAAAATCTTCAGATAACATCTCTAACTCATCACCTAATGTTTCTAAGTATTCATTCGCAACGTTATTATATTGACCTAACGTTAATGCATCCACTTTATTGTCAACATCTTCACCTTCAGTAGAAAGAGCATATGATCTGAAGGGCATACACAAATTAGGATTTGATCTGCGTAAAATGGGAGCTATTTGGGTCGTACGACCAATAGAGGGTAAAACTCTTCTGTGGGAAACTTTTAATGCCTGTCTGAACATCTCAACTATAAGATAGAACTAAAATGGAAATGAGATATTTCAATGTACGTAATGTAGATGAATGTATATATATGTATTACTTTCACAGTAATTGCATTGGCTGTATAATACCTCTCAGGTTCAAGCAGGAGTCTGCCATATTTACGGGTAAATAATTTTCGGGACATAAACTGAATTTTTCAACTACATGCATAGAATTGAAGTACTACTTTTTTTACAATACAATATTGAACTATGATCGGTACAATCTTTATCTTTGCTGTAGTGATTATTGCATTTTTAATATACTTGCCATATTCTTCAGGTTTAGCTACGTATAAATATGAAAAAAAGCCTTCAGAAAGGGCCCAACAGAAGAATAAAGACGAGTACTTGAACAACTACCAGGGTTATATCCCACCGGATGAAGAAGCGGCTTTGAGAAAACAAGGGCAAGATTCGCATTCATTTAAGGTTAGTGTTTCCAAGCTCAAGGAAAAAGCCCACGTAACATCTAGTGACATTCCTTTGAAATTTAAATTGCAGCAAGATTCTACGTTGAGGAAGAGAAATAAGGAAAAATTAGACATCAACAATGACCCTAATAAATTCGATTACGACATTGATGAGCTTATAAGGGAAGAGAATGAATCAGCTATGGAGGACCAGAAAAGAGAGTTTTATAAGAATCTCCAAATGGGAAAAGAAAAGGAGGCGATGGTGTAAATGTAGCGGAAACTCAATGGCTCTCAGTGTGTATTATAATGTTAGCTATGTACATGTGTATTAAATGGAATATGTCAGATCTATTAAGTCAATCAAGAAACCTTTCTTTAGGTAGCTGATTTCATCATTAATAAAGACCATTTGCTTTGAAATGTCTTTATACATTGAGGATGGATGCGAGCTTCTAAGACTTTTAATATCATTCAATAAATCTTTTCTTAGTAACTCGATCGTACCTGTGAATTCTTTTCTTTGCAATGAGGTTAAAGTGGGATCATTATTTAGTACAGAAGCGTAAGCCTGACAAACTTGATGGATCATGCTGTCGGAAAGTTTAACAAAGTTACCTCTCTCTTTTGGAATATACCTAAGTTTTTTTCCATCTAAAGTTTTGTTAACAAAAGATTTCAATTGCGCTGAAAGGACCAACTCATCAAGTTTGTTTCTCATGATTGTATCCTGACTGAACCCATAAGATTTATCGTGGGAATTGATTAATTTAACTGTGATGTGATTTAACGCTTCTAGGTTCCAATCAGATGAATCATGTGAATTGTGCTTGTTAATTTCAATAAATTTGGAGAACAAGGCATAAAATATTCTGGTAGTTATAGGTAAGCCGTATTGATTCTCAAGAACATTCATTATATAGACAGACTTCTGAAACGAGTTTTTGTCATTATTGGGCGAGCAATAAGAATAAATTAATGGACGAAACGAGCCTTCATTAGGCATTAGCTTGTAAGGTTCCATGTCTTGAATGTTCTGCGATGATAGTATTTGTTTTAAATTATCGTACAGTCTCAACAACTTCTTATACAATTGTTTGTCATCTGCCGTTAAAGCCTTATACAAATCCAATTCTGGATTTGATTTTTCTAACAATGTTTTTTCTGTGTCTTCAAACAGTGGATCAATAAATAACCTTGAAACTAAAAATTCGGCCTCTTCAATATTTTTCATATCTGTTAAGCCTTTTGTAACTTTGTTTATGGTCCTAACATCTAGGGTGATGTGATTTGAATTTGCCAAATAATCTATAGCTTTTGAAAACGCCGATATTGAGTTTTGATTCCCTGATATTTCTCTGAATTCCTTAGATGATAAATAGCCAAGAATAAGGTCAAGAGTTTCACGGTCTGGTGCGGCATTCTTTTCATTCAAAATATGCTTTTCATTATTTAGTATGTCATCAAAGCCTAAGTTTTTAAGAATGTCAGCTACCACATCATGCCTACCGTGTCTCATTGCAATAAATAAAAGTGTGTTGTATGTATCAACATTCAATTTTGTAGCTTCGTCGTTAAATTGTTGTTTTATCAGTTGATAAATATTCCAATCAAAATCGTTAGCATGACGTAATGGGTATGAATTTTGACCATCAGTTTCCTTTAGCTCTTTGATGGAATTTTCAACTTTCTCGATTATGTCTGCCCTATCTTTGAAAAAGCTCATAAAGATGAATTGGTTTTGTTCTTGTATAGATAATGGTAATCCTGATTCCTTCATATCATTGAGAATTTTTGTACACATAGCAACATGCTCTGATCTATGTTCCAACATTTCGTTATATGTACTATACATCACATTTCCGGACCTTACATATGACGATGAAAATAAGTTGGGCTTAATGAAATCTCTTCTGTACAAAAAGCGGCTAAGAAAGTTGTCTAAATGGTTTGGTTTCATATATGATGGAGCAGGATGAGGCAATTCGCAGTAATACTTATACACCAAATTATGGTTTATCAGTTCGTATTTGATCGCATTACTGGCAAAACTGGAAGTATCCTCTTCAGGAGAACTAAGACCTAACGAGCCTCTATTTCTGTGTGGATACAATGCTTTGAGGAAATTATTGTATGGAACCTGAGGAGCTCGGTATTGGTGATTTTTCAAGCTAAGCAAATCATGTCTTTTTGATCGTATTTCTGTCGATATTGTATCCAGAGACATTAACTTCTGCCATATCTCTTCTTTACTATTTAATTTGTTATAATGTTTCAGGTCGATACCAAAATAATTCGCTAATGGAACATGATATTTGTTTATCACCGACTTCACTGTCTCATGTAGGTAGTTTGAATCATTTGACTGCGACCTCAACACCCGATTGCACAAATTATCTACTGCAGAATGTAGAATACTATGACTATTTACATTGGATGTAGCATACCATCGTTTCATTGTTAATAGCCATTAGTAAAGTACTCTTTTTGAAGATAACGGTATATTGCAAGAGTTGATAAAACTAGATATAGAGTGATTACATAAGCAAAAATTTTTCAAGAAAGTGAGACGAATTTCTTCCTTAACTCTATGAATGTTAGAGGACATAAATATAGAATAGTAATTAAGTTTAAGTAATATGAAGATTCAAACTAAAGCTACGGGTGTTTTGGAACGAACATCTCATTACTTGAAAGCTGGAATTTTGAGGGAAAAACCAGCATGGTTCAATGTTGTTGGATCACATCCACCAATGGTTGACTTAACGAAGAAACCAAAAAAATTCGACACACAAGCACAAGAGAACGACCCTAGCAAGTCCTTGTTTCAAAAGAAGAAAGGTGGAGAATTATTTAAGACCCGTTCCAATATATATGATAGACAACAAAGGCATAATAGCATTTCCAGAGTCCCTAAATTAGAATTTTTAGAAGATCAATTGAGAGACGTATTCTACCATCAACATCCTTGGGAATTTTCCAGACCAAAGACATTGATTGAAAACGAAGGTAATGAATCCAAGCAATGTGATTGGTCGCATATGTTACAATTACATAAACCATTAGACGGTGAGTCAGTTGTTCAAAGGACTTTGTGGTTATTGCAAGATTCAAAGAAGAACAATAAGAACATGACATTATTTGAGGCATACGATCAGGCCAGATTTGAATTTTATAGATTGAGAATGGAAGAAGAAATGAGCAGTACGGTTTCTAAAGAAGAGTCCACCATGTACGGCGCAATTTTCCCATCGACCAACTTAGATTGGGGTATCAAAAAGGAACAAGAATACATTGACGCATGGACCAAGGTTGCTGGTGAAAAGACTAAAGTTAGAGATGCCAATAAGGATGGAAGAGCCTCTAACGGTTCTATGGGTGCAGATGATGTTGTTGAAAATAAACAATCTATATGGGAGACTGTTTTCGATGCTTCTGATGTTTCTGAAGCTTCGCTCGAAGAGAATTCAAATGCTCAAACCAAAGACAATGCTTGAATGGCGCCAACTGTCACCGTTTCTCTACAACTGTATATAGTTACTATTACATAGTTTTCGTTAACATAATTAATGTCAGAAAAGATATATCATAGTAAATTTATCGTCAAAACCACTTTGCCAATATGCCATTTTCTACACTATTTCTCTTTGAACCTATGCAAAATAATATGTATTTGGACGTACTGAACGCATTCATAAAACGGGCTTGAACCCATCAAAATATAAGTATACACAAAAAGATTTCATGAACCGCTGATTCTTCAACTAACCTCCCATAGAGCTGAACCATTATATCTAGTGGTGTTCTTCATGATGTTTATCTTTCAAAAACACTTGTTCGTAAGCAACGTAAAGGGTGAAAGCTCCTAAAGCAATACCGAACCCTGGAAATGCATTTTTGAATCTGTTAAAACGGCTGAATTGCCCTTGATACCTCCAGGCATCTCTCTTAGCCCATGGATTGCTCATGATGTATATGTACTATTAGTTTGTAGATGAACTTCGTATGTTCGATTTTTCACTATAATACGGTTTGTTTTATTGGCGAAAAATAACGGGTACTAATTACGTAAGCATTTATAAATTATTCACCGACTGGACTCATCACCACCCGATAACTAACTTTTTGTCTCGTAACGATACTAGGCAGTATACATAGGTTTAACGGGCTTCTAACAAGGAGTAACTACAAAGAGGTTCGATCATTGGTCATTGTTTTCTTACCTTTATATATTGTCTTCAATAGAACAACTTCTTCGTCTTCGCATATCTACTGGATTGTATAAAAACACTCCTGTTGATATACAAAGGCATATATGTGGTATAGTATCAAGCATGCCCTCTGATATTAAAATTTGCTACGTTTTTCCATGATGGTTTGGTGTAAAGAACATGGTCCATTGTAGAAATATCATTCGCGCTTCTACATATCATGCCGGTCCCAGGTATTTCTTCGAAAGCTTTTCCACCTGTAGTTTCTGGGTATTAACATGCAAACTCGGGGTGATGAGTGTCATATAGATACCGTGTCGAGCACTGTAAAAAGATATGACTTACTAGGCACTGGTTCGGGAGTGAGTGGTGTCCGTAGGAATTGGGCCCTGAAAATTAGGCTTTGGAACTAGTGTTGGAAATCCCTGGTTCTTAGCTGCGCGACTCGTCATGACATGCAATGTTGCTTCGAGTGTCACAACCTTCCACAGGATGGACGCAGTATGTACAGAATCTTCAAGAAGGAAGATTGCAAGACATCCGAACGACCTGAATTTCGGTTGACGCACTCCTTGATACTGAATTTATTTATTCGTTCAAGAGAAACAACTACTATATATATTGCTTGATCATCAGTCCTAAATAGTTGATATAAACTATATTTGTCTTAACATTTGATATATCTTAGTTAAAGATACAACAGTCCGATATTTTTTAGAATCTAAAGTTTTCTGAACGTAAGTATTTTATCATTTGAATAAGGAGGTACCATAGAAGGTTGCGGTCCCTAAAAGAAGGTTTGAAGAGAGATATTAACAGTATATTAGCCTATATGTCGAAAAATAAGCTACCTTCGCGAAGTAACCATGCGATTTCATTAACAAGTGGTAATGCTATCTCAAGATTAGTATTCATATTTGCACAACTTCCAAATTTAGTCAAGGCATTGCCAATTTTTGCAAGAAACTCAGATATTGAGCATAATGACATTGCTGAAGCAATGGTTATGACTCCTGAGCTGTTCTACACGAACTTATTCACTTCTATCTTCCTTGTTCTAGCAGGGGGTGTGTTTGCTGGGTTGACCTTGGGTTTGATGGGTCAAGATGAGGTTTATTTAAAGGTCATCGCAACAAGTGGCGAACCTCAAGAACGTAATCACGCTCGTAAGGTGTTGAAATTGATTGGTCGTGGTAAGCACTGGGTCTTAGTTACATTATTATTGTCCAATGTTATTACCAACGAAACATTGCCGATCGTTTTAGATAGATGTTTAGGTGGTGGATGGCCTGCGGTCGTAACATCTACCGTATCTATTGTTATTTTCGGGGAAATTATTCCTCAGTCTATCTGTGTGAGATATGGATTACAGGTAGGGGCAATGTTTTCACCATTTGTTTTGTTGTTGATGTACCTCATGTACCCAGTAGCATATCCATGTGCTTTACTTTTGGACCATATTTTAGGTGAGGATCATGGTACCGTATACAAGAAGTCTGGTTTGAAAACATTAGTCACCTTGCATAAGACCATGGGTGTCGAAAGATTAAATCAAGATGAGGTTACGATTATTAGTGCTGTTTTGGACTTAAAAGAGAAGCCGGTAGCACATATTATGACGCCTATGGATAGAGTTTACACTATGAGTGCAGACACAATATTGGATGAAAAGACCGTTGAAGAAATTTTCAACGCTGGATTTTCTCGTATTCCAATTCATCTTCCAAATGAACCTATGAACTTTATTGGGATGTTATTAGTTAGAGTGTTAATTAGTTACGATCCCGAAGACGCATTACCAGTGGCTTCATTCCCATTGGCTACATTACCTGAAACAGGAAGGGATACCTCCTGTTTGAACATTTTAAATTACTTCCAGGAAGGTAAATCACATATGATCGTGGTTAGTGAAAATCCTGGTGAACCAACTGGAGCTCTTGGTGTCTTAACCTTAGAAGATGTCATTGAAGAATTAATTGGTGAAGAAATTGTCGACGAATCCGATGTCTACATTGACATCAATAAGAATATCAAGAGAACACAACCCGGCCCATTATCCAAGAGAAATTTAACTACTTACTTAAATAATTTGTACCATAAATCAGCATCGGCATCTAAGAGAAACTCGCTTGATGATGGCGCCTTAACTCCTTTGAAGGATTCTTTCGCAACAGAAACACCCTCCTCACCATCAAGACAGAAATTGTTCAATGGCGGTGGCAGCGCTGGAAATTCGCCAATGATGGGACCAATTGACGCCACCAAATGGAAACCTTTAAATCCTGCTTCAAACCCTCTTGAACTCAACAAGTCATTCGTTAAAATCAAGAGGACGGACATGGAATCCGTTAAAAACTCTGTTATGCCTCCACCAAAGAGGTCACCACCAAAGAATGCTAAATCATATGGTGCAATTCATGCAACAGAAGAAGGAGCATTGAATAGTGCTAAAAATCTTAATGACGACTCGGAAGATGAGGCAGGTAGTCATGACCAAACCCAAAGGTTCTTGCTACCTGAAGAGAAGGAAACAGGTTTATCTGAAATAATGAGTCGCAAAAAGGATCAGAATGGCGATAGTTCAAACCCTGATGATTTTAAGCATCATCATCATCATCATCATGCATCGCATAACGGTGAGGGCTATGACATTCATTATCACAACGATTACTCTGCATCTCATCCTCAGAATATAGTACCCGAGTATCAGGAAGCGAGGTCTTACAGGACTGGTGGTATTATTGAATCGGTCGTCAATGTACAGGGTGTACATAAAACAATCATAGAAAACGTGGATGAAGAGAACGAATACTCAAACCTTGCGAATAGTCACCGTAACAGTTTAGAGAATGCTCAAGTTTTGGGTCAACTTGAAAGCCGCGACAACGATGAAGAATCTGAAGGCTTACTTGCTGGATTAAAGAAGAAGGCCACTGGTTCGAGCATTTTATCTGGTAACAGCAGTCATTCCGATGATAGCAAGAATCGGAAACCAAGTGTGTGGGATAAATTCATGAATACTTCGAATTCAAATACTTAACTTCATTTTATATATAAATTTATACGAGAATACAATTTCGAGATGTAATATACCTTATTCTATATATTAGAAGCCTACCATGTGTATATTGGCCGTATAGTTGAACTGTTACACGGTGGATCTTGAACGGCTCTATTGAAAAATCACGTGAATGAGGATCGACTTAAAACCGCCTATATCCATTTACCAAGAAGTATACAAAGGAGAAAAGCGTTGTATATCTTCTATATATTTCAAGTTGAATTCATCAATAACCGGAATTGGCCGATAGTTAAGTATAATTGAATAATTTGGAAGGAAACTAAGAAATTACTTCCCATTTTGAACAAATTTCAACTCCGTATAGAATATGCTTGATTCGGAACCAGTGGATTCCAAGAAGAAGAGTGGGTTGAGAGGGTTCTTTTCTTCATCCTCAACATCATTGAATAAGGAGAACCGTAAGGCAGGAAATGAGAGTGGGACGTCTTCACCACTGTCACATCGATTTTTGTTGAAAAAAAGAAGCTCCAGGGGCATTTCACAATCATCCCAAAATAGTTCTTCTAGTTCTCTCAATTCAGTTACAAAATACAATATGTATAACTCCAGTGGTTTAGCAAACAACGGTAGTCAGATTCAAATTGATAAAAATTCTGAACATGATTACCATAGTGATGCAGGGGACATCTCCAATGAAGGAACAGAGTATGATAATTCCGCGAGCTCTAGAAGCCATTCGATGAATAATACCATTGATACTTCGAATGGTTCATTCAATAATAATGAAGGCGGCCTGCCGAAAACAGACGACAGAGTTCCACCACATACACTGCGTCGCAAGACTGAGCTACTGCCGGAAGCAAAGAAGGAAGCTTCCGGTAAGACGAAAAGTCACAGTCGTCATCTGAGTCATTTATCATTGAAAAGATTTCTTAAAAAGCTTAAGAACACAGATACAGGAGATAGCAAGTATAAACATAAACATGCTAATGTCTTGCCCCATCATTCGTCAGATTTATATAAGAAATATGGGACCGTCGGAAAATTATTGGGGACAGGGGCAAGCGGATCAGTCAAATTGGTTACTTCAAAAACAGATCCTAATGAAATATTTGCAGTCAAGAAGTTCAGAGCTAAATTGCCAAATGAAAATGAACATGATTATAAAGTAAAAGTCAAGAATGAATTCAAAATAGGACAACATTTAAGACATGAAAATTTGATTCATACAATCGAATTAATTAAAGAGAGTGAGATGATGTCGGTTGAATATTATATTGTCATGGAATATTGTCCATATGACTTCTTCAACTTAGTAATGTCGGGACTCATGACTCGGGAAGAATGTGCATGTTATTTCAAGCAAATTGTCAACGGTGTTGCTTACTTCCAAGAAAATGGATTGGCACATAGAGATTTGAAACTAGATAATTGCGTCGTCACCAAGGATGGTATCTTAAAATTGATTGATTTTGGATCTGCTGTACAGTTTAGAAAGGAAAAAACTAATAATAACCCCTCTGAAGACGACATAGACGAAAAGTATAGGTTAGTAAGGTCCAGAGGTGTCGTGGGATCGGATCCATACTTGGCTCCTGAGGTTTTAGAGCCAAGTAATTTTGGTTATGATGCAAGAGGAGTGGATGTGTGGTCCATTGCCATTATGTATTGTTGTATGATTTTGAAAAGATTTCCTTGGAAAATCCCTAAAGTGAGTGACCCATCGTATAAATCATTTATAACAGATCCGGTTGAGACAGACACTGAGGAACTTGCAAATGATGTGCATAATAGCTTACACGTCTCATCATCTGACAATGCCAACAAAAGGCATTCGACAGGTCCGTATAGGTTACTTCGTCTTTTACCAACGCAGGCTCGTTATTTGATTGAAAAGATGTTAACTGTTGATCCACTTCAAAGGTACACCATAAAAGATGTTGTCAAAGATGAGTTTTATTTATCAATTGATCACTGTCATACAATTGAAAGTGAAGGTCAACCAAAATCAATTTATAGTGCTGATAATCATAAGCACCATTTGGTAACCGAAGAAGATCTTCAAAAAATAAATATGGAAAAGGAACGTCTCAAAAAACTTAAGGATGCAGGTGTTGCCTAACATTTTCTAATTATGTGGTAAGTATAGTATGTTTATTAGGTATGTATATATTCGAACTATAGCTATTAGTAGTAAATAAGACATCGTACTATATACAGGAGATTATGCTTGATATTTGTGATCATAGTGTTTATAGATAGGTACTACAATCTATTTATTATAACATATATGTCAGGAACCAAAGAGAGTAGATAATATGGGAGGAGAGTCAGCTCTACCTAGTTGGGTTACTATAATATCTGGATATTCTTCAATAATATCTAGTCTTATTATATTTTCAAGTATTGTTTTACACTTAAAGAATTATCGTAAACCGTTTCAACAGCGATTAATGATCAGAATTCAGTTAATTGTTCCGCTTTTTGCATTATCGTGTTTTTCTATGCTTAAGAATCCTGAATCGTTGTTCAATAGATATTTGTTGGAATCAATACGGGAAGTTTATGAAGCATTTGTAATCTACACATTTTTTTCTCTATTGACGGATATACTAGGAGGAGAAAGAAATATTATCATCATGACGAGTGGGAGGGAACCAGTTTATCATCCTGGTGTTTTGAAATACTTATTACCTGCTGTTGACATATCTGATCCAACCACGTTTTTAATAATTAAGCGGGGGATTTTGCAATATGTGTGGTTGAAGCCAGTGATATGTGTTAGCACTATAATAACGGAATTGATAGGGTGGTATAATGTGAATGATGTAAGTGCGACCTCGATATACTTATGGCTCACGATACTATATAACTTGAGTGTGACGATGTCATTGTATTGTTTGGCGATGTTTTGGAAAGTACTTTGGGATGATTTAAAGCCTTTCAAACCGGTAGGTAAATTTTTATGTGTCAAGTTAATTATTTTTGCATCATATTGGCAGGGGGTTGTTCTAGCTATACTAAACTTCTCCGGAGCATTACCAGGATCGGCGTCAACTAAAGGACATAATACCAATATAGGTGTCTATATTCAGAATGCGCTTCTTTGCGTTGAATTAATAGCTTTTGCTATTGGCCATTGGCATTCTTTCTCTTATAAACCTTTCAATATTTCAGCGATACCCAATGGTAGGTTGGAATTTTATTACGCTGTCAAAGATATGTTTGGTGTTAAAGATTTAGTTCATGACTTCCAATTAACCTTTTATGGTGATTATTATAAAGATTATAAGAGATTTGATTCTGTTGAAGCTACAACTGCACATCCAGAATCTAGAGGACGTATGAGTAGGATTAACCAAGGTTTGAGGTATCACGGTGATGGAAAGCAAAAGCACTGGCTCCCAAATAACCAATCACCAGTTCAGAACACTACGAATGTACGAAGTACCTCAGAAGCAAATGCATTGTTATACCAGCCACTACTAGGAAATGCTCTGCAATACTCACCATCTTTGAATTCAACAGGAACATCTACTAGAGGGATCTATCCTTCTTCACCTAAGAACATAACACCTCCTGATTCCCCAGTAGTACCTGCTTCTGCCGGAACTTTTAATCTGATAAATGGACCTACAATAACCGATGTCTTGAATACAAATGAGATTTCATACGATAAAGAACTACTTGACGAAGATGAAATTTACTATCAAAATGCATGCTCAGTTATTAACAATTATAGATTAGATCAGAATGAGGTTAAGAAGTTGATAAATTATCCAATTGTGGATGAAGTTGTTGATGGACATATGTTTGGTTTTAAGGTTAAAAAGTTGAGAGCTGATAGATTAAGACAACAACAAAGAAATCATAATAACGTCTCTATTGATGGTCATAAGAACAGTTCTTACGGAAGTATAGCATAATAAATATCAAGCGTTTAATATAAATAACATAATATATACATAACTAATCTTCAATTTTGAACAGATACAATGAGTCCAAATCTTCTTCATCTTTGGCCTTCTTCTGTTTCTTTTCTTCTTCGATCTTTTTGAGCTTCATTAACTTTTTCTGTTTTTTCAATTCCTTTGACGGATTTTCGTCTATATTCTCTTCATCTGATTTAGCTTTCACAATCAGTGGCGAACATGAAACCATTATTCTCGAATCAATGTGACCACTAATATCAAATTGGCACTCACATTCTTCTAATATATTCTTCAATTCTTCAACGATCATATGACGTCTCTTTATTTCAAAATCTACTTCAGAAGGGTCACTGACATTTATGACTTCTTCTGCTTCTTCTTCGTTCACTTCAGAAGTTTCTTTCATGTTTTCAATTATACCACCTTCTTTATCTACAGATTTCCTGGCAGAATACAAACTTCTTCTATCCCCAATATAAAGAATAAACTTCTCTCCTTTGTTCATTCTCCTTTTTATTTCCATTTTCTTCTGATTATTTAAATCACTCAAGCTTATCTTCCACGAGAGTGTAAGAATCTTTGTTGCAGACTTCTTCTTCTCTGCTCTATCCCGTTGTCTGACTGCCTTTTGCGCAGCTATACTACCCTTTTCCAATAACTCTTTCTCTCGTTGAGCCGCAAGTTCATCTGTATAATGTTTGATCATTTCAAAAACCTTGTTGGTTTTAACTAATGGTAAGTCCCCTTCTTTCGATGGTGCAACCATAAATAATCCCTTCTCAGAAAGATCAATATCATTTACGATTTCAACTAAATGCTTTTGCTCCAATTTATTGGTTTGGGGGTTCACAAACTTCACTTTGTAAGACTTGCTTACCAAATGCACTTTCGAAATTAAATCCTTAAGGGCATTTTGAGCTTGGTCGGAACCTGTATTTATTTGAAATCTTAATGCCTTTCTAGGTGATTTTTTAGTATCCATATGATTTCTTCTCTCACCATGATTCCTCTGGTTCCTATGTTTTTTATTATTATGTTTCTGGTTGAGTTCCTTAAATTTTTCACTTTCCTTGTTATTATGTACATGCTTATATCCGGTCTGTGTAGTCTTCTCAAACATATTAACAAATCTATTATTAGGTATTGTATTCTTTTCAGAACTATTCAAAGCTGATGCTTTCTTTGAAGCTGCTTCGCCGGAGTTACCCCTGGTCAATAAACTTTCCAAATCGAAAGGTTCAGCTGATTTATTAGAACCAAGATTAGTGAAATCAAATGGTTTATTACATCTTGAATTCAGAGATAAAAGTCTTAGTCCCAAGTTACTAGCCGATGACCTTGTTAATCTAATCATATTCTATATTATTGTTATTGGACCTTTTCTGTTGAAAATAGGTATTAGCTACTAACATATTTCACTTATTCCAGATGAGTTATTTCTTTTTTTTATATGCACTACATAGTACTGATTGCAAATACAGCATATATTAGTATGAATTATCTCTATAAACTACCATTTAGCACCTAATAAAATAGCATTGGGGTCCGTCGATTGTTCGACTTCATGAAACCACGTCTTAAGCAATCTATTTTGATTAATATTGAATTCTTTGCAAAACTCTTGACACCATTCAATAAGCTCTGATAACATTGTTCCATTAGAACCAGCAGCTAACAAATCATATGAAGTTATGTTAGTATAGTTTTCCGCAGCTTTTGAAAGCCATTCTTTCTCTGGGACATCAGTAGGTGGGTTAATTTGACCACCACCATTGATGCAACCATTTGGACATGCCATTATTTCAACATAATCACATTTCGAAGCATCTGCAGTTTCCTGGGTGGTGCTATTGGATGAAGCCGTTCCATCCACTTTTGAAGTCAATCTGGCACGACGACGGCTAGCAAGCGGGTTTACCTTTACTGCTGAAGACTGCTTTGTTGATGGCTTTAACTTCCTCACGAGATTCTGGATATTTCTGAAGCCATTAACAACGGCGGCACTAGCAACAGTCACATCTTTATAAACCAACCGCATCTCATAAATATCAGAATTCCGGCCCAGGATTGTCTTCAATGTGAAATTTTCAGATTGATATGTAGAAGGATCTTTCAGTATTAGATGCTCTTTTGTCAAATTTATGTAATGATATGCATATCCACCAGATGATGAACCGTTATCATTAGCCCAAGAAAGGTCAACATATGGCCAGTTCCTTGGGGCACATTTGGTATATAATTCAGTAGTAGAAACCGAGGATGCAGATAATATGGATTCCACCTGTGGTGGGAATAATGAAAAATCGTCCGAATGTTCATCTAATAATGTAACTAATTCCTTTGCTGTTAGCACACAATCAACGTCATTGGTGGCGGATTCAGGCTCTCCTTTCTCTGGTCTCGCACTTTCCAATTTCTTGTCAAAACATGGCATAATGGATAAATGATATATGTTGTCCCTTGATGTATTCAAATCACGAGCAGTCAATGTTTTAAGCAAGCATCCTGTTATTTGCTGGGGTGATTTTATGTCCGAAATTCTTGGTAATACATATGGATGTGTTTTCTCAGCATATAGCACCCATCCAGGACAAATGGACGATAATGTAGGTCCTTCAACACCTGATTCCTTCTTTTCTATTATACTCTGTGATTCATATATCAATGATAACTTTCTTCCAAGTGAAGTACCCACAATATAACTGAATCCCATCTGCTTAATAAACAAGTTTATGAGAAGTCTATCCACTTCTTCTACCGATAAGTTGTATGCAGTGGCCAAAGATGCCCTTGATTGGTGTGAAATACTGGCCACGAAGACCTTGTCAGTTTTATTGTTAATCTTTTCTTTCAATGCTTTAATCAATTCGTTATGTGAATGCTGTGCAACCAAAATTTCTTCAGCTGAAGTAATGCACCCTGAACAGGCCAAACAATCAGCAAGCGATATTTGCGCCGCTGATAAACTTTTAGCACTTCCATCTAGTTTTGATATTTCCATCGGATTTCCTTCATTGTCTATTTGAATATCTACTTCACCATTTTCATTATTAGGATCTCGATTAATGTTCTCTGCTGGAGGTTTAATGCAAGCAACGCCTGGTGAAATGAAATCATTCAAATCATCGGCTGATAAAATAGCACTCATTATTTATTATTATACCTTAATATAGACAAGCTGACACTAAAAATGAATGTGTATGGTTAAAATTACTGACAATTTATTCTTCATATATAGTGACTTTTGCGATAGTTAGTAATAGAGCTGACTAAAAAAAAAAAAATAGGTATCTTCACGTGATTCCAATGATCTCTACAGATAACCAATAATAGTAGATGAATTGATAATGTTCTATGGACTATGTATATAAAGCTGTATTAGTTGGTCGCAGGGGAAGGGGAATGTTCCTCAGTTTCTTCTTCACTAAGATCGCCTAACTCAAACTCCTCGGCATCGTGTGTACTAATATTTTGATAATTTGAATTAGGACCAAGGCCTAATTCACCATTTTCATCATAACCTACCAAATGTAAGTATAAGGACAAAAGCAACAACATCCATAAGTAGATAATAAAAGCCGCTCCAGTAACCACCAAAATATAGGCTGAATGGTCGGCGCCCAAATCTTTCACCAATATCAATTGTTCTTCGTTCGCAGACATGAATAATATACCTGCTAAGATTAGACAAAACGGAGGCATGTGTTGAAAGGAGAGGATTTTACCTGAGTCACTAGAGCCTTTATCTTGTAGGATGAACAGGATTTCAACGATTCTACTGGCACCACCTCCCATCAAAGCTAAACCAAACATGGCATGGACTTTTGTGGAGATCTCCAAGTGCTGAGCGTGTTGAGACATACCATAACCTGTGAAAATAAGCAACAATGCCGGAATAAATGACCTAGTATTGTTCTTTCTTGTTAACCACATTCCCACTAATCCTCCACACCACCAGATAATTCCCATGGCCGTGTGTTGGTAATCACCGTGCGACCATCCTTCACGGCCCCATCTGTGTTCTGTGAATGTGTTAACTATGCCCCAAAGACACATAAGAGATGAATCGTAAAACTCCTGCGAGCGCCTGTTAGGATCACTGTTTATGTTTGGGTTAGAGTGTTGGCGAATCCACGGAATCACAAGCACAAAAGCTAGCACAAATCCATAAAGGATGAATGATGACCCCATGATCCCATGAGCAATGCATTGGCCAGTATGAATTCCGTAACAGAAGCCAAACAATGCTACTGGAGCCATACAAACCCGAACCCATCCAGTTAAAACAGCCAAAAACGATAGCGTCTTATAGATCTTGTACGTGATACCATACTGGCCTTTAGTAGATAGATGTGGGTAGAACTTGTTAATAACCAAATTTGACCCATTTATAAAACTTCCCATGAACACCGTAGCTCCGAGCAATAAACTAAGGAACCAGCTAGTACCTTTAGACGTCCTGTTTTCATGGTTGTCTGTATTGTCTGGAAAGTCAAGAAAAAGCGACTCCATCACCAGGTATCCAGTCAGAATAAACTGAAGGAAAAGTGACCAATGTAATCTATTAGCAAATGCCAATGCCGATGATACCGAAGGCATCAAAAGCAATAATGCCAATGTCAAAATCCAATGGAAAGTTTTGGATCCGCCGTTAATAGGATGAAATTCAACCGGAGTATTATCATGCATGTGTCCCTCGTTATCATCTGCAATTACCACCATACATATTGATAATGCAACTAATACAGTGGTACATGACGTGATTGATCCGATCTTACTATAGTACATGTTATTGCCACTAAATCAACGTTAATGCAATACAATTTCAGCTTCTTTTAGTGACAAATGCGAAAAATATACTCACTTTATTGCATAGTAGATTTTATACTCTATACAATACTGCAATTACTATGAATGGCCATTGTTCACTTCAGGTGGAGGCCCTTGAGGCCAGAAGGGATCTACTTATTTACATGTTTTCATAAACAACACAACTCAAGCTTAACCAATTGATAACCCTATCTACCGAAATGCTAAGTTGGTATTTTCTGCTCTGCAACCACTAGAAGTTATAACTAATCATTCGTGTCATACATAGCCTCTCCCCTTTCTCCTCTAGAGTTTAAACTGTAGAAATATATTAGTTGGATATTTATGTATCGTAGGGACTATAAAACTGTAAGACAAATCATTAGTTTCACGCTCATACTATCATTACTCTTCATCCTGGCTATAAATCACGATAATCATACGTTTCTATTCATCCTCAACACATTTCCACATTGCATTAAGAATGGATTTTGCGAAACCATATCTCGCCATAGTTAATTCATAGCAGCTTCGTTGTCACTAAGCCATACATTTTTACAACTCCTGTTTTCTCTATCCCTTTTATATCCCTCATGCAGCTTACTTGTAAAATTGGAAACGAAGGAAGGTCTAGTCTACAGCATTGATTTCGCAGCTTTGGTTCTCAGCTTGTGATTGGGAGCGTATAACTGAATACAAAGTTGATAAATTAGAAAGAGTCTTTCCTGATGTAGAATATACGTATCTAATTTGATCTTATGATATCTATTTGACCGTTACTGTCTTTTCTTCGTGATATTACTATCGTTCGATGGAAGAATGTATTCGGGCCCTCTCATCGTACAGAAAGATCACTATTTTTGGTCAAAACTTTTAAAATATAGTCACCAAAACTCACATCGTCCTCTTACCCTCCAAAATAACTACTAAACTCTTTTAACACGATACCTATTAGCAATTCTCTGGCTTGTCTTCTTATCCTAAGTACCTAAATATGGAACACTTTTATTGACACAAAAATGCGGCATACTTAAGGCCGGTTACGTAATCAATCCACAAGCTCTCTGTACGTGGCAGAATATAATTATTTAGTAAGAACAAAAACGAAGATATATTGCAAGATATTGTCCATTTTTGTTAGAAGCTCGGCATAATAGAGGTATTAGAGATCAACAACTGATTGTGCTTTATTGATAACACCAATTTTGTTCACCGGAAAAGGGAAAATAATTGATAAATTAGACAAAATAGTATTGCATTATAAAATTGGCGTATATGATTATTCACAGGTGGATTTTGTCTTAAGAAACGAAATAATATATTGATAATAAGAGAATGCTCCACGTTGGAAGAATAATTGTAATAATTTCTTTGGTAGCCAATTTGGTGGGAGGGTTCCGTATTCCTAAGAGAGATTACGACCTGAAAAATTATTTTATAATAGAGTTGGATACGTTGAACTCCAGTGAGCCGCTATATAATTTTATCGAGAAGTATGCTGATAACTATAAGTACGAACACCAGGTACGTGGACTAGACGACCATTTTGTATTTAGTATTAGCAAAGAGCATCCACATAACGAGTTTATAGGAAATTTCAACTCGAACAATGAAAATTTGATCAAGAGATCTGGAGGGTTTGAGGACGAGTTTGATGATTTGGTATCAAACCCGCATTTAAAGTCGATTCATTTGCTCACACCCAAGAGGTTGACCAAAAGAATGCCCGTGCCAATTACAGAGGAAGAGTATAAGATTTCTATGGAGAATCAAGCCAAGAGAGGTGTAAATATTGTTGATTCAGCTCAATTACCCCTTAAAGAAGTAAGTGAGAAGTTGGGAATTAATGATCCAATATTCCAGAAGCAATGGCATTTAGTGAACACTTTTTATCCTGGGCATGATGTTAACGTCACCGGGTTGTGGTATGAGGGAAATACGGGTAAAGGTATTGTCACAGCCGTTGTGGATGATGGTTTAGACTATGAAAGTGAAGATTTGCATGATAATTTCAATTCTTTAGGGTCGTGGGATTTTAATGATAACACCAATTTACCAAAACCTAGATTATTTGATGACTACCATGGTACGAGATGTGCTGGTGAAATTGGTGCTGTTAAAAACGATGTCTGTGGTGTAGGCGTAGCATATGATTCTCAAATTAGTGGAATTAGAATTTTGTCGGGTACCATATCTGCAGAGGAAGAAGCTTCTGCTATGATGTATGGGCTAGACGTCAACGATATCTATTCCTGTTCTTGGGGGCCAACCGATGACGGTAGAACTCTTTCACAGCCTGATGTGATTGTCAAGAAAGCTATGATTAAAGGTATTCAGACAGGACGTAAAGATAAGGGCGCTGTCTATGTTTTTGCATCTGGTAATGGGGGACGATTCGAAGACTCCTGCAATTTTGATGGATATACTAATTCGATATACTCCATTACTGTTGGTGCTATTGACTATAAAGGATTACATCCAACATATGCAGAGGCTTGTTCTGCAGTCATGGTTGTTACATACTCGTCTGGATCAGGTGAGCATATTCACACTACTGATATAAAAAAGAAGTGCTCAGCCCTTCATGGAGGTACATCAGCTGCTGCACCATTAGCAGCCGGTATTTACTCTTTAGTATTACATGCTAATCCAAATTTAACGTGGAGAGATGTTCAATATGTATCTGCTTTGAGCTCTGTTCCAATAAATGAGGATGATGGTAATTACCAAACAACAGCATTAGGTCGCAAATATTCTCACAAATATGGATATGGAAAGATCGATGCGTATGCGATGGCTCAATTTGCGAAAACTTGGAAAAACGTCAAACCTCAAGCATGGTACTACTCTGACGTTCAGAAAGTAGGTATGACTATTACTCCTGAGAAGCAAAACAATGTGATCAAGAAGACAATCAAGATTTCTAAGGAGGACTTGAAAATTGTAAATTTAGAGAGGGTTGAGCACATAACGGTAACTGTCAATATTCAGGCTACTGCAAGAGGCAAGGTAGGTGTTAGGTTAATCTCTCCACATAAAATTACTAGTGACTTGGCTACATTCCGCCCACAAGATACTTCAGGCGCAGGTTTTAAGGATTGGACTTTTATGTCTGTTGCGCACTGGGGTGAATCTGGTGTGGGTGAATGGGCAGTTGAAGTTTTTTCTGATTACCCTATGGATGACAACCGTATTACCTTCCAAGACTGGCAATTGAGATTATTTGGTGAATCTATTGATCCAGAGAAGGCTGAAGTATATGATATCACTAAAGATTATAGTGCGGAAAGAAGAGAAAAGCAAAAGGAGCATGACAAGAAACCAATTGGTGTTCAAGACCCTCATTCGAGTACTGTAGAATCACAAGCTGAATCTAAAAAGGAGACTAAGACGAAAGATACCAAGACAAAAGCAACCAAGACCAAGGCCACTTCCACAAGCAAAACCAGTCCTGTAACTACATCCGCTAAGCCGGAAGGAAAAGTCGATGCAACCGAGAAGCCTAAGACTACCTCAAAATCTTCCCCAAAGCCGGACCCCACAGAAACTAGCGAGCCTGAAGAAGAGGAAGATGGCAAAAATAAACAATACACGGCTGACCATACTGGGCAGTATTTCATGGCGATAGCCGTAATTGGGTTTATCATTGTTATAATATTCATGAGATACCACAAAACCCCAGGCAGCTCTCGTCGCAGAAGAAGAAGAGAAGAATACGAATTCGACATTATTCCTGGTGAGGATTACACTGACAGTGAAGATGATAATGACGATTCGTTGGATCTAGGACATAGAAATGATAGACGTCACAATTCTCGTAATAGCGATGAAACAAGAGACCGTTTATTCGACGAATTTAACGCCGAAACATTACCAGATTACGATGATGGTATGTTTGCAATCGGTAATGAGGATGATGACCATCCTCATGATTCCAGGGCAGAACAAAATTCAAAATCTTCAAATAGGCCACCCGCGGATTCTACATCAAACGACTCAAAAAGTGCGGCCAAGGACATAGAAGCCTCTGCAAGAACCTCGAATGATCATGAGAATACGGACACTAATGAGAACACTACCTCTACCTCAGAATCAAGAACCTCAGTTTAATTGTATACATTTATAAATATTTAATATACCTTTATCGTTAAACCTGCATACCCTTTACATAATCAAAATAATCTCTACTACAAGTTTCTTACCTAATTTATCTATTGATTAGATTCCTGTTCAATATCATCGTCAATCATAGCTCGGTCTGTTAGTGTCCCCGAGGATCTCTACGTAACTGTCTTGTAGCGCAGTCTAATGTCTAGTGGCGATGACACCATTCTGCGAAATTCCGTGCCGGAAATACTACTAATTTTTAATATATACCCTCTATATCACTACAATATTATGCCATGAAGTCTCAATTCAAGCAAGCATATGAAGGTTACAATTGGGTCTATGATGCTTCCCTGGCTGTCTTTATAGTGTAAATAGGCGTTTATCAGTAACATTAATATAGTACGTGCATGACTCAGATGATGAACATTGGTCCGGTCTCCCTTTTTCCGATTTTGACTCAATTAGTAATTGCTATAAATCAAGAACTGATCGCCAAAGTTTTTAAGAAGAGTTAGTAATTCACTTCTTATAAATTCAATTGACTGAAGTATTATATATTATAGTACATCAAGAATTCTAAGTACTGAAAACTTGTTGTTATTCTTTAATTGCACGAATTGAACCATAATATATTTTCAGATTACTCTGACTCATTTTAAAAAAGGAGTATTAATAGATAAAAGGTCGTAATAATGTCAGTAGAACCATTTGGTAAACACGTCACCATTGTTGTCTTTGGAGCCTCTGGTGACTTGGCTAAGAAGAAGACATTCCCAGCTTTATTTGGATTGTTCCGTGAAGGAGAATTGCCATCAACAATTAAGGTGATTGGGTATGCAAGATCAAAGTTGTCCGATGCTGAGTTTAAGGAGAGAATCTCTGCCAATTTCAAGAACGTTAAGGATAGCAACAAACACAAGGTTGACGAATTCTTAAACTTATGTTCTTACATTCAAGGTCCTTATGACACTGAAGAAGGGTACAAGAAGTTGAATGAGGAGATGGAAAAGTATGAAAAAGAATCCGGTGTCGAAAAGCCGGAAAGATTGTTCTACTTAGCATTGCCTCCATCAGTTTTTGTTACTGTTGCAAGTCACATAAAGGAACATGCTTACACCAAGACTGGTGAGGTCAGATTAATTGTCGAAAAGCCATTTGGTAATGACTTAGAATCTTCTAGGAAATTGCAAGAGAGCTTGGCCCCATTGTTTACTGAAGAAGAATTGTATAGAATTGACCACTACTTAGGAAAAGAAATGGTTAAGAACTTGGTATTTTTAAGATTTAGTAACGAATTCCTTAGTGCTTCGTGGAACAAAAACCACATCAGATCCATTCAAATTTCCTTCAAAGAAGCTTTCGGTACTGAAGGTAGAGGTGGTTATTTCGATGACATCGGAATTGTTAGAGATGTCATGCAAAACCATTTATTACAAGTATTGACTTTATTAACCATGGAAAGACCAGTTTCTATTGATCCTGAAGCTATCAGAGATGAAAAGGTCAAGGTTTTAAAGGCCTTTGGTGAACTTAAAACAGACGACATTTTGTTGGGACAATATACCAAGTCAGAAGATGGTTCTAAACCAGGTTACTTAGATGATGATACTGTCAAAAACGACTCAAAGTGTGTTACATATGCCGCACTCGGTATGCAAATCCACAACGAAAGATGGGAAGGTGTTCCAATTGTTATGAGAGCTGGTAAAGCTTTGAAAGAATCTAAAGTTGAAATTAGAATTCAATTCAAGGAAGTTGCTAAGGGTATGTTCAATGACATTCAAAGAAATGAATTAGTCATGAGAATTCAACCAAGTGAAGCTGTCTATATGAAAATCAACTCTAAGATTCCAGGTATTTCTGCTGTTCCTTCTGTTACTGACTTGGATTTAACATACTCATCTAGATACTCTAAAGACTTTTGGATTCCAGAAGCTTATGAATCGTTAATTAGAGACTGTTACTTAGGCAACCATGCTAATTTTGTCAGAGATGATGAATTAGATCTTTCTTGGAAGTTATTCACACCATTATTAAAGCATATTGAATCCAAGGATGGCCCAACCCCAGAACCATATGCTTACGGTTCTAACGGTCCAAAGAACTTAAGACCTTTCTTATCAGCACACGGTTATAATTTCTATGATGAAGGCACTTATGAATGGCCTTTGACCACACCAAATGTTAAGGGTAAAATGTAATTTATATGGCCTGTATATGTAAGTCAATAAAATATTTCTAATCGAATTTTTTTACGTCTACAAGTAAATTTTACAATTTTGTCTTTAGGTAATTGATATATTAACTATTTAAGTGAAATTTCTCATAATCATCATTTATCAGACATCCATGGAAGGTCTATAAGCGGTCACCGACATACGAAGATGGGTTCTAGTGTATGCTACCGAGGAAACTGCGAATGTTAATGGGAAATTTTCATCATATAAAATGATGACTATGATATTTTCACTTTAAAATTATAGACTATTTAAGAGAATCCTTTCAAAATGTGCTTAAATAATTCATTTATTAACCAACTGAATCAAAAGTTAGTAAATGTTATAATTTCAAATTTTATGGAAATTGGGATGAATCAGAACTGTAAAATACTGGCAAGTATAAGTCCGAACAAACACCTCCTGCAACAGAGGATCAATATTGAACAAACGGTTTTCAACCCTGTCGTCATAGTCGAGTCAGACTGGGAAAGAAGTAGACTTAGTTTCATCATCTTCATTAATTTTATTTCCTTAATTTCCATAAGAATTCTAATTTGTAACTTACACTTTGTATTCAAAAGTTTAATAAGTAGAATATCTAAGCTCATATTAAGAAGATTATCTCCTGAATATTAAATAATTAAAATAGTTATCATGATCAATTCGTTTTACCTACTAAAAAACTTTTTCTTTCTATGTAGTGGAAATTTATTGTCCTTATATACTATTGAAAAAAATTATTCTTTAGGGTTACCCGATCTCCATCGAATTTTTTAGGTCTCGATGGAACACTCTACCTAAGCACGATATAACAATACGGAACACCAAGGCAACAATATAATGTCCCTATACTATATTATCCACTTATCAGCCTTCAATGTATCGGTATTTCATTAATGAAAAAAAAATACTTATGTTCGATGGTTAATGATAAAAATATTGAATATATAAATTCACTGCAAAAAAAGA